TATATATATATATATATATATATATATATATATATATATATATAGTGGTAGTGAACCAGTATAAACTGATTAAAGTGGTAGTCGAACAGCAAGCGTGGATTACTGGCTTAGGATATTCCTACTGGGATGTCTCCTCTTAAAGGACAAATCAACAACTTTGGGGGCAGGAAGAATCCTCGATTCTGTTTTGGGCAGTTCACCTTCTCGAGGGTTTCGTGGAAATTCAGAGGACCCGAACTTGTCTTGTCGACCGGGCTTACCTTCTGCAAAATCCTTGTCAAGAAAGCAATTCAGGGTAACTTTCTGGCTATTTTCTAACGGTTTGTACTAACTTTCATATAATGAACGTAATAGGGACCCGTCAGCAAAGCGATTTGGAGGTAACCCACCCGTCGGCGATGCAGCGTGAGGACAAACCATATCGGATAACGCTTGTTGGCTTTAGAAGTATCCAGTTGAATCTGTAATGTCTGCAGATTGTGGGTATAGAACACGCTAACAATTCTAGAGATGTGCGCATACTACTCAACTTGATGAGATAACAGGAGTTTTTGCTTCTGTTATGCTTTCAGTCTCCAAGATTGGACAGTCAACTAACAGCTTGATGTAAAAATGTGAAATCTCAACAGCGAGTTCAGTATACAAATGAAACTGGGTCTATGCTGAACAGTAGAGAAAGGTAAGTTGTTTCACCTTCGTTGGAAATCATCAGCAGTGGGCATCTAAAAAAATTCCTGGGAATATCCCATGTATCCTCCTACTACAACCAACTCATAAGTAAATCGCTCAGAAAAACGCATCTCACAAGGTGCAGGAGCCTTCCACTCATTCGAGGAGTCAGCCAACACGTGACCGCATGATCTGAAATAGTTGCCGAGGGACAAGACAAGCTAAATCCTGTCTAGCTGCAAGTCGGACGGTATGGTCTTTAACCACTGGACAAATGAAAACGCGTTCGAATTGGGAGGTATGCATTGCTGCTGATTACCAACAGGGGTAAGACCATTGTGTAGAGTGCTTTGAAGTAGACTGACTTCACTTGCAGGATGAAGCCTCTGTTGATAATTAGTTGATGCTAAAACCGCACTTAGATGATATTGAACATGGTGAGTACTTGAGTCTGAATAGCACTTATTTATTCTAGCCAAGTTGATTGTCTGGTTGTTTTCCAAAGTGCAGGAAGCTCGCTGAGAAATGTTGACCTCAAATGTATTCGACTTGTAGGACACGTCTAGACCAAGAGTTTGCTCTCGTGGATTTTCAGACAAGTAGGCTGGACAAAGAGCCAATCGCAATCGGCATCTGGCGTCCAAATGATGATTGACCCATTCAAAATTTTTTCCATAGACTAGCCGAATCGAGTAACTGATTGAACCGCCTGCTACCGACAAAGATACCGCTAACTGCACGCAAACCTTTGTTGATCGTTACACCATGATACGGTGGGTTTTGCATCAAACATTTACCCCGATGACCCATACGGTCACGTCAAAATGTCACGTGACGCACTCATGCCACAAACGAACACTCTTTTGTCACATGTGGTCCAGCCGTACATTCCAACAGGCAAGAATGAAAATAGTAGTAGTATCGTTTCACGATTCTACCTAACGAATGCATTATCAGACTGGCTAATATCAAACAACCAAGCCCATCTGCATTAGGGTAAGTTTGATGCAACTGTGTTTTTTGTGTACTACGTCGGCAGTTCACACAGAATAAAAACCAGACTAGGGCGAGATAACGGACAGGTACCCGGTCAAACCACAGCCAACAGAAGCCGAGTCGATTTGAGTAAAAGTGTACCGAGACTGCAGGATAAGCTGAAAGTATGTATGTACACACATTGGGTGCCAAAGCGTGGTGAACGATTATTGTTTGACAATCTATGACTCTAAAGGACGGCTGCGTTGGTTTCTTGGGAAGCGAGTGAGCCAGTCCATAGCTTGAGAACCATTAGTATCTACATTACTTTGTATATGTTCAGAATTTTTCGTGGATAACCACCTCTCTCTGACGTTCCTACTACCGTAGAAGCGTTGAAAAATGTGTTCAAAAGTAGCGTGAATCAGCCACCACAGGCTGATTGATTGACTGACTCCATTGCCTGGAATATTCATAGAATCGGGAGTGCAACCATACGTGCATTCGCACTAATGTAATGGGAATTTCAGGCTGTAGATATGCGTTCTATCCTTCAAAATTGGATGACAGGGCCTTTAGATTGATCGCTCATCCCACCAGCATGTTGCCAAGTTAAGTAAAGCTCAATCAAGTTGTTTTGATTAAATCTGAGCCGCTTGATTCACCTTTAAGTAACCGGCAATCCGATTATCCGGTAGCGTCAAAAGATCGACCCATGACTGTCCTTAAGGGCCAATCGAGCTTGAATGACTCATGAAAACGTTATTTGTCGCTAGCTAGTTACAGGTTAAACAATAGCAAAAACAAATGATAAGTATATCGCAGCAGCGTGCCACTCACCTGATTGGATCGCAGCTGTCGAATTAGACGGTCGCGCTCTTCCAACCCGGCACGCTGTTCATCCAGCACTTTGTTCAAGTTCCCAGTCTCTTCTTCGAAACGACGTAATTGAGCCTGCATAGCATCAATGCGGCGTAGATGTTTCTCTTGCTGAAGTGGTGGGGAGGAAAGGCGACGGAATAACTGTATGCAGCGGGGATCGTACAAAATCCTAGGTAGTTCTTATTATCCCTACAGGCCGCAAGCCTGTTAACTTCACTGTTCAGCGTGCACCCGTCAATTAGGACAATAAAGTCTAAATATTGCAGGATTTTGAGTCGGGTTTCACTACTGATGTGTAACAAAAGATTTATTGATCAGATAATTCTGTATAGTTCTATCGGTAGGTGTCAAAAGTCGGTAACAAAATGCTGAGATAGACTTACGTCAGTTAAATTACTTGGCATAAACTCTCTCATTTTGACTGTGATAAATCACAAACCGTATCAAAGTGTACTAGCACTTCCGTTTTGGTGTCTCAGTAAAGTCCTGAATAAAGTCCTGACACCAAAAGAATTCTTTCGTCTCCATATAAATCGAAAGGTGCCTAAATGGAAAGTTGTCTCTCGTGTCCCTCAATTCGTTGAAAGAAACTTCTTCGGATATTAAGTCGTCTACAGATACCCACTGAGACACTGAGGTTTCTGTCGGGTCGTCTCATGGATTTCACCGATACACCACTAAGATATTCTGGGGCGGCATCCAAGTGAAACGTGCAATCTTTCGCTTTTGGTACAATTGTCTGTGAAGGAAAAAAACACCAAATCGTTTTACCACCAGTTATTTATCCCCATGCGAAACCACTTTAGATGGCAAACATACACTAGGGGGCATAGCAACGTGCAGGCGCACCAAAATTAGGAGGGAAAAATTGGTTTTATGGAGTAGTCGCTGTTTAGAACACACGATCTGTTGAGACGAACGTCGTATTTCGGTGCTTGTTCTTTTTCTCGCTTCTGTGGAACAAGTTATGTCATAAGAAGGCACCCTAAAGGTTCCTCAAGCAACGACAGTGTTGCAAGAGTACATCTCGTCTGCTCAGACCAGTCAATCATAGTTTTTACCGTAATCTGATCCACTTAAGGTGTTGGTAGAAGACAATCAAGGACAGAGAATAGTCATATTTTTACCACAGCCGAGGGAATAGGCATTCGACCGTCCAGTTCCCCTGGGTAAAGTTGGAGCATGTAAATTAGCAGACCATCCGTCACACTACATTTCGCCTTAGTCTTTCCACACTTGGTCATAAATTTTGTAAGATGAACTGGAGTCGAAATGCTGTTTGTGAACCTTATTTTTCTAGTTAATTGTCAGGTCTTTGCGGCGAAATTTTCTGTGCATCAATGCTACTCTGTTTTGTCTTTTCATTACCTTGACAATCTACGCGGCTGATGAGCATCGACCGTGTGTTTATACTTATGAATTTTCAACAAATTATGCAACGAATCTTCACGTCTTTGGTGCCAAATTCTAGACACCAAGAGCTTGTCCTGTGTGTTGTGAGAGGTTACTGCAAGCGACAATAAAGGGCGTAAATAATGAAGGTTGAACACTGTCAAGTCCGCATCCAACCGTTTTTTACAGCCCTCACGCTGCGCCGTGGCCAGTGGGACAAGTCCTCAAAAGCGAGGAACTGTACATTACCATAGGTTGTCGTTTACGTAGTTTGTATTAGATATAACAGTGATATCGTGTTATCTTTAGTGTTGCTCCGTTTTTAATGAATTGTGCATTCCTGAAATCGCTTCTTCCAAGAACGTGTCACGATTCACACAAATGCATTTGCATCGGCACGTGCGGACAATCTGGAGCCCAGTACTTGACCAAGTTGCCACACGGTTGACCGTTGTTTGAAGACTTTATCAGCAGAACAATGAAAACAAGACTGATAAGTTAAACTCTGACAAACCTGACTGAGATAACTTTGGATGCCTTGGAATTTTCAAGATGTACAGTGAGCCGTTGCGTTCGTAGATTATTCCTCAGTATCCGGTTTATTTAATCAAATTTTAGTAAATTAAATTAAATTTGTTACTTCATGTACACATACTATAACAGTACAGTAAATTTCAGGTTTTAGTCGGTCATTTACATTCTGGCATTGTACACCAGTTAAGCTTCACACTGCTCTTCGTGAGAATAGCGTGCTAGGATAATTCCATACTAAAATCACTAGGAAAGAAAACCATAAAAATGGACATTCATAGGCATTTTCGCCGCAATGACAATTCGCGGATTTTTACGACTCATGGGGTCTCTCGGAATGCAATGCCCTCGACTTCAACAAAAGATGTCTGTGTTCAGCGAATACATACTCATTTGCAAACTAATTTGGTTTTTCGAGAAACTCACCTGGAACCCAGGTGAATCTCTCGGTTCTGATGTTTACTGGCAAATGAGTGTATATTCACTCAGTTCGTGCAGTTTGGTTTCAAGTAGAACATAAGGTTGGCAGAAACTCCGGGACTGCGGCTGCCTGACGAGCCCCGAGAAGGGCGAAACCGGTCGTGGGCTGTCAAGAAGTTTTCAGCAGCCTTATGAGTAGTGCATTATAAAATTATATATGTATCGCGATAGCTCGAATATCGTAGCGACGGGAACATGAGGTGGCCTGGTGCAGTGCATTCAGCTGCCTAGAAACACCGAAACCGAGAGATTCAGCTGGGTTCTACGTGAGTCCCTCGGAAAACCAAATTAGTTTGCAAATGAGTACAAATTCGCTAATTTCGTGCAATTTGGTTTCAAGTAGAACATGAGGTTGATGGAAACTCGCGGACTCCGCCTACCTGATGAGCCCCGAGAAGGGCAAAACCGGTTGTGGGCTGTCGAGGAGTTTTCAGCAATCTTATGAGTTGTGCATTACAAAGACGTCTGTGTTCCCATATCCAACAAATAGATTCGTATTGTTCACCTCTAAGTCTGGTCAATCAAACAAGGGTCAGTTGAAAAGGACAATCATTTCAAACTCACACAGTCTTTTTCCATGCGAATGATCGCATCATCCCGTTTGACTATTTCACGTTTCAATGAGTCGATCTCAACCTTCAGTGGCTTGAATATAAAAGTGAAATAGTATGCATAAATAAGGAAATAGTGTGTAGTAAAAAAAGGACCAGTTCGATAAGGCCCTGCATGCGATCTTAAGGCATGTCTAATACGTATACACTGTGTACCTCCAAACAGCGGATAGGTGCTATTCTTTCTCTAACGGCACGTATCTGTGAGAAAGCATGGTTTATTTTTGAGGAGTACGGAACGAAAGAATACGATACTCGGGCGAGAATAAAGTTCATTTGGCGGTGCTGTCTTTTAGCTATAGCACCATTCCGGTGCCCAACCTCCATGCCACCAGAAGGAAGCACGAGGGATTGGATACTGCCAGGTTTCCCGCGCTCAGACAGGGGAAGTCGAGAAGAAAAGGTCGGGTTCGAACCATGAACCTTCCGGTCAGTAAATTCGCGCTCTAACCACTGAGCCATCTCGGTCAGCTCTTATCCCCAAAAATGCTCCAAGTGTTTTACCGAATATCTAGGAGAAAATATTCTTTAATAAGAGGTTGCCATGATTAATACAAATGTTCAGAAGTTGGTGTTACTTGAACAGAAAAATCAAAACCAAAACAAGAACCGAGAAAGTTTTGAATTCGCAGGACAGTAGATGAATTCGCCACACTAGTTCGGCAGTGCCAGAAATTCTGTCTAAACATTGGGAGATTTTACCTTTGCTGATTTTCTTGCAGCCTGCATATGCGTACTCTGACTCACTGGAAGGAAGATATAAGATGCGTTTAAAACAGAAACTTCTTTCCTATTGGAAACGGGACATACGCGCATATAGTTTCCATCACTGAACAACAGGTGACCATGGCGTGGCTAACCATCCATCACACCTGGGAAATCTCAAGGGCTTGGCGGACAGTGGATGCTTTCAGATTTGGGAAAACAAAATTTTCAGGTTGATTATGGATCAGGTTTATCTGATATATATATATATATATATATATATATATATATATATAGCATACAATATTACGATACCATAATCAACGATAGCATATATACTACTAACATAAGACAGTAATATAATAATATAGAATATTGAATGTGACAATCTTGGGCGCGGCACCACCTTTAACAGTCAAACAGTACTCACCGATCCCCTGGCCCCAGTTCCAGGCTCAACTGGTCCTCCAAGATTTTCGATTTGATATCGAGCCGATTGAAGTTCACGCTGAAGGTTCGCTATCTCTTCTTGGTACTGCTTGAGCTAAATGGATCAATCGCAGGAGATGAGAACACAATATACTCCCCAACTGACCAAAAGCATCCGTAAATTATGAGGTAAGCCTCTGGTATCAAAAAAAGACATTATATCAATATTCTTATTGTTCTAAGACCGTTAGAGTTTCGCAAATCTTGGAGCCAAGATTAGCAAAACAACCGGTCATCTTCTGAGTTAATAATCAGTCGCACTGTAGAAGAAGTGTTTGGAAACGCAAAAAGTCGAATTTTTCTGTAAGACTGGAACAATCGTACTGCTTGCGTGCAGCGCTTCGTTTCTAGGATCGGAATTTTCTCGATGTGATTGTTCGCAGTTGTTCACACACACACACACACACACACACACACACACACACACTAACTGGGCTTTCTGCTCGGTCTAATCGTCTGGCCTCCACAACTTGTCGAATACGGAAACTATTTTCGGATCGTCAGCACGTCCCAGCCCTTTTGGTACAGACCACTGGCTGGGCAGTGAACTTTTGCGTCGCGTTTGAAAGAACGGTAGGACTTGGTAAACAGACCGTTCGTAATTTCCTCATGGAGTTTAAATAAAGTTGAGAAGAAAACAGCGTAGGCAGAAAGGTAACAGTCAAGTCAGCCAAAACCCTCTAGAAGCTAATTAGAAAACGTCAAACTACACTTTCAGGAATGATCAAAGTATCGCTCCTTAAAGAATGGTAAAACCCATCAAAAACACACGGTTTGTTTAACCAATCGTAGAAATACCGGGTTTTCATATACAGGCATGCAAACCGACATTCATCAATATTGTTCGCTGTGAATAATGTTAAAAGCTAATGTTAAAGCTAATGTTAAAAGCCCGAGCGAAGGAGCTCATTGGTAGCATGGTAACTCAAAGTTTCACAAATATACGGTCAATTTTAGTCTTTATGGGGATGGGTAGATTATTTTATCCATGGTGCGAGTGCAGTCTTGGTTGCACAAGAGGTTGGAGACGCCACAGTCGTCCTCCTTGTTCTTATTGTTTTAGTATACAGCAAAACAATCTAATTCATGACTCTCTTCACCAAGCCATGCATCGAAGGATGACCCAGGGGCGTTCATTCCATGACTTGAGAACGAAGCATAAAGGCCCTCATTGGGCAGTTCACTGGGATTGTTAACTGCCGTCTCCCCGGATGGGTTCCCCACGACAAGACAGAACAGTGGTTAAGTATCTTGATAAATGGCTACGTTACGCAGTCACCAAAACTATGGTCTTCTCGTAGTTCTCTTACTCTCACTTAACAAACAGAGCGATTTTACGTAAGTGAACTGGTTGGTGCCTCGCCTCCAATGCGTGACTCCCACTCACCAACTCTCCTTATCCTCGATGAATGCAGTTGTAGTAGCTGGAATCACTATACTGAAGTACGGGGCGGGTTGTTCAAGAAATGAGTGACTGACTAAGTAACAGATGAAAAAACGGATTAACAGACAGCCACAGAACTGCAACTCTAAAAATATCGGCGCGCCAGGTGTGCCTCGGCACAATCAGCAATAAAGCATCTAGCTGAACAGTCTCGAAGTTCACATGAAACATTGTCCTGAGAGTTGTCAGTATATGCTTAAAAGTCGAGAAGTATGGTGCAGACGTGTCATCCTTGTTTAAAATCAGCAGCAGTTCGCATTTGATGAATCACTTGGTCAATTCTGGTGAGTGACTGAGTACACCACACCATGAGACTAAGTGTGACCAAGCACATGAGATGTCAACGTTGTTCATTTATCGGCACTTTTCCGCACTAGCTGCAAGGCTATACCTACCGAACTCAAATTTCCCATCCATTTTGTGTAAGTGGATGATTCGGACATATTTTCACTAAATTACCGAATTGAAATAGTGGGACTCTACTAACTTGAACTTCGAACAGGCGTAGCAGATAGAGGTTTTCAACCGTCTTCACATATTACTTACAAGTGGCAGTAGTTCGGCAGCTTTTGAGTTCACATTGCACTGGAGAAGCGCCATTAGTCGGAGGTACATTCGAATCTCTTTCATCCAAATGGAATACATGAGTTCTAAATACAATTTGGTGAACAACTTCGGAAAATTACACCAACTGATGTGCCTCAAATAGAGGGTTGGTCGTCGGTGAGGTTTCATTCATCTCTCCATATTACTTATTGGCAACGGTTTAAAGATTTAATCCAGGTTGAGCAATGGTCTTACAAGTCATCGAATCGAAACTCGTGCTGCCCAGATGCACTGAATGTTGCAAACTGTTTCGATATGGTGTGGAGTTGTCTGAAACACTGAAGTGTTGTGTCAATCTTAACACCTAATTGAAGTTGCACTAGCTCGACGAACCGGTCGGCGGACCGGTGATCCGTGGTTAAGAGAGTGAATTCACTTCGGAAAAAGGGCCCCTGTGAGCCTTCCCCAGGATTCCCGAGCAGGAACAAAGCAATCGCGTGGCTTGGCTTTTCAGTATCCGACTACATATTCGCTACCGTTTTCGGAACATAACCATGACTTAAATGGTAGTAAAGAGTTTGCTGACACCTCCGAGGAGTTGACTGGATGGCAATAAACAGTATAACTTGTGCGAAAAATGTTAAAGTTGATACAAGTGCCATGAGAAAGTTAAACACCACAATAAATTGTTGGGCAACGCAAAGCTAATATGACAACAACATACAGTCTATACAGTATGCAATCTACCGTCAGTAATGAGCGCTGACTCAGTAAGTCCTCAACATGGTGAATAATACCAAGTCTAACTCCCAAAAGCGATATCGCTTTGAAAATAAGGAAAAACGTTCTGTCCGATAGGTTTTCAAGTTTTTCCTTTAAAGGTTGGAAATCAAATTAAATCGACGCTTAAGTTGTTTTAGAAATTCTGGGGGTGTCTTCGTACCTTAGTATTCTCCAGCATTTCAATTGTTTGCGTCTTCTCCTCGAGCTGCCTTCTGGAAGCTTCTAGATCGTTCTGTAACGCATCCAACTGCTCTTCGAGGTGCCGCTTTGCGGCCGAAGTCTCTTTAATCTCCTCACGTAGCACTTGCACGGTGTCCTCATCTGGCTTCCGATCCGACTGGAGGCTGTGTCTTCGGGATATTTGGTCACGAAGTTGTTGTGTTTCTCTTCTGGCATCGGCGGTTTGTGCTTGAGCGGTACTCAGTTCGATAGTCATTTGCTCCATGTTACGTTCTTGATTTTGATATTCCCGACTAAGCTGATCTAGCTGAACAGACAGCTGTTGGATCTGAAATGAATTCCACAATACACCTTGCATTCAGAAAACGATCCATGGAATCATAATTACGATTTCGTTGAAATATTCCGTCCAACAAGACTAATTTCGAAATAGTTTGATGGTTAAGACGCGAAACTATTGACCCGGAGGTCGTGTTTCGAACCCAACCCTGGTGTCTCGACTTATCCTGTCTAGGTTTGGACGAACTGACAGTATCTCATGCTTTTTCCTGGTAGCATGGCATCTAGGTACCGAAAGGGTGTTAGAAATGAATGATTGTTACTAGACTGCACATTACCAAAACATTACGTGCCACCGTCTTGTGGGGCTATTCCTTGAAGGTTTCATTTGCGATTTCATGCAACTATTACTACATCATCATCATCATCATTATCATCACCGACATGACATCAGTCGAAATACATCAATTTACCACTGTGACAATCAGCCGCCTATAAACCTTTTGGGCTTCACAACTGACTAAAAATGAAGTCAACAGATGTTCAAGTGGAAAATTCGAGGAATGGATAAGTCTCAAAAAGAGTGAAATCAGCAGTGTGCTGTCCAGGGATTTCATCAATCTTAGGGACAGTTCTAAATGTCTTCAGTGACGCTGTAATTGCCACAGACCCGGAGCTCTGATGTTGTGCAGTGGTTGCCTTCTGGTCAACTAATCTTTCCTCACGAGGAAACGTCCCCAAGTGGGAGAGGAAGCTTCAGAAGTCTATATCGATCAAGGTAGACGACTGATGCAATCTACTTCAGTTACAACCTCAAGTTGGTTGGACCGTTTAAAGATGCTTTCTAAAATTGTTCTCAGAATGAAATGAATTTTTCGTTTTAAAGTGAGTGCCACAGATACTTGACATCTGCAGCCGACTCGTAGACTGCTGTCTTATTATGACTGGAGCTGTTTTTGTACAACCCTTCATGCACGCGAACTCATCGCATTAGTTTTCCGAAGAAAACACCCATATGTTGAGAAATAATGGGTATTTAAAAACGGAGTCAGTGGTTTATGAAGGTGTGTAAGAATCCCAATGGAACTCATCCTACAGGCGTTGGATAACCAGACCCTTTAGGCAATAAAGTCCCAGATTTGACTGAAGCAGTTCGCGGTTTCAGAAAGTCCGACGAGTAGCCGGCCATTTTTAGGGAAACCTCATGGATTTGAATTGGTCATTATTCTGAGTATTTGTAACCAGTGAACGCTAGTGAGAATCGCGTGTTGGAGGCTGGCGTAGATATGTAACCCAGGTAAGTACATTGATATATTGTGCATTTTGTCCCATGAAGCTGACGCAGGATAGTGTTATATCTGCTGATTCGCCAATCTGTGGTATCTGCTGCCGACCCGCTCCAGTGCCTAGTGCCGGAGAAAAAGACTCACAAAAGGGAACACAACAGCTACATTCCGAACAAGCGAGTGCGAATGTACAACGGTCTCAAGCAATTTATGGGATGGACACTCTCTGAACTCGGTCCAATACTGACGCACACGTTTGGCTTTGGTGCGAGGCTGTGACGTGCTGCATATTGCGGGGGTGTTGTCCGACCTTGATCAACGCTGACTCGGGCTGTCTGGGCTTGATGCAAGGCTGTGAAGAGCTGCATATTGAGGGGGCGTTGTCCGTCTGGCCAACATCTAGCGGAGCTGAGAGTCTCAGTAGATTTCGGGCATTGAAGGGTTGCTGTCAGGAATGTGACCTTCCTGATGGATAGTTACCGAACATGCCCCACGTTTGAGTTTGTACGAATTTCACCCCCAAACCAGACATGTTTTTTCGCTGACAACTGGGTTGTGTGAGCTGAAAGGCTGGCTCTCCCTAAAGATTGAAGCTGCTGCGTTCAAACTGGGGAAAGCTGGCATGACGCTCACCACCCAAAAGACGGGAATGATGGTGATTAATGGGGATATGGGGTGACCACGGTCCCAGTAGAACCTTTTTGCATCGACTAGGAACTCGTCAGTCATCTGGGTCCAACAGAAACTGTGTCATATTTGGGCGTCCCTTTTGCTGTCAAAGTGACAGGAGTCTACAACCACCGAGAGGCAGTTGCTGATCGATGAGGTGACGCATGTTCCACTAAAGCAGCATCAAAGAATGGAGATCGCGCGGAATTATCTGATACCGAGGTTGACACGTTTAGTGGTACTCGGCCACGTCTACCGAAACACCTTCAAAAGGTCGGACAATTACATCTGGCCGTTTATTCAAGGCTGGATGCGTCCACCAAAGTACATCCCAATCAGCTACATACACACTGGTAAACGACGTGGTATCCCAAGGCTTAGTTCAACCATCCCGGTATAGAGGAAAGGGCGCATGGAAAAGATGCTACATAAGAAGTGACAAGAACTAAGTAGTGTGATTAATGACCCTGCATTAAGGTTTTGCGGGAGCTCAGCCTTCCAGTCCAATTTCCTTGTGCGCATGTGAACACCAAGGAAGAAATGCTGGTCACTTGGGGGCGATGTTCTGCACAGCAGCGTTCACGATCGCGGTTATGACCACGAGTTAATGGCCTAGTCTCTTACGAATCTATGGTTTGTGTTTCCGGATTGCTTGTTTCCTCAGGAATTCAACAGCAGTATCCAGGTCCAGTGCAACACGCGGAGGGAAAACTAGAAAGGCCAGGTATCGTGATCCAATGATCTTTTGTCGCCGAAACTGTAGTCAATCGGAAATCTGGTGCATATTATGCAGCCCTTATGGATCATGCATGATGTTCAATGTGCTGGTCGTAGTCGGGTTGCAAGGGAACTCGCGGAACGCCTCCGTTATCTGGGATACATCGCCTTCAAGAAATTGAGAGCATCTCGTTCAAAATCTTTCATCACTGTTCGAAAGCGCAGAGCGGGTTTCATAGAGGTATGTATGGCGTTGAGCGGGAGCAGAAGTACTGTGTGGGATGAGAAAAAGCAGAAGTACGACGTTGAAAATTGTTCCCTCACTATCACAGTTCTCTTTACCATCGATTATGACGTTAATTTTTTGGTTCACGAACGGAGGGATGTGCTTTTCACCTAGGCTGTTGTTACACTGCGACTCCGTAAGGTCACAGCCAGTGACGTGCGTTTGCTCAGCATTTTGGCCTCCTTACGCACGTACGGTATGTTTATGTGGTGTCTAGTGTTCATTCTCGCCATTGACTTTCACGCCTGAATATGAAGGGAACGCATTGTAGCTGACGTGCGAGTCTTGACCGTTCTAGCGCTTACTGTGCCTTGAAGAGCATTAAACTTTACTTATCTTTTCTTCAATAACTGATCTTCGTACTCTTTTCACACCGAGCCATCTTGTATACGTTGAAGGTCATCTCAACTGACTGAAAACTAGTGATCGCATGCTCTTGAATGGGACGCTTCCCTCGTTTCCTGGTCTCCTCGTGCACACCCTTCCACATGTATCGCTCGTTCTCCTCAACAATAAACGATAATATAGAGTATCTGCTTTCTTACTAGACTGGCTGCAACGTCACCTGCTTAACAGTATGCTCAACAGCCCCGCAAAGTACTACAGTTTGGTTTTGCTAATCACACACTCCTTTAATAGTTTTACAAAACCTGAGTTTCCGTTGACCCAAACTGTTCCGAACGCCGTTTGTCACCTAGCCTTTGTCTGTATCAATAATGATTTTTCAGTATTCCCTCATCAATCTGCATCCCAACTTTGGGTGTATGGCAGCGAATGCCGAATCCGCTATGTCAAACTGCTCGGATTCTACAATGATAAAATAAAATGCAGTCATTGGGAACTCATGGAATATCGTGTTATCCTGCGTCGGTTTATCCATATCTTAAATTCCGTTACTTTCCGATCGTATCGTCTGTGTGCGACGTGCATGTAGGCAGGGAAACTTCACTGCTGTCATGGAACATTGTCATGGACACCTGACAAGCCACGTTTAAGCCCAAGTCATTCATAGAGGAAGTATTCATTTTCGGGACTAAAAACTCTGCTTTAAGGGACCCTACTCTAATAACGGGTATAGTGAGGACAGTGTTCAGCTGCAGGGAGGGGTGGTATACCAGCGTTGGACACAATACATACATATATACATGCATACATTCTTTTAAATGCTGTTCGTTCTGGTGCACTTGTGATTTAAACAAACCATAGTGCAGTAACCAGAAATTGAAACAGATACAATGACCCACCGATTAGATGACTGAACTTTTTCAGGGAGGGGCAATTCAACTTACTGCTATCCGCTAAATCTAAGAAACTGATTGCACAGTAACATGAGCCAGCAGTTGCGATAAAGGACGGAAATTTCTCTCAGCAAGAGAACAATGAGCACGTTGTTGACTGATAGACTTCCTTTAGACAGTTAACCAATCAATCCAAGGAAGAAGCAGTTGGGCAAATCACGGATAGAAGTGCGCATGGGAAACCAATCTACTGGTGTAAAGGTGGATACTGCTGATGGGATATACGAATTGTATGTTTTCCCGTAAATCCGCTTTGCGTCTCTTAAAAAGTGAGATCTATTGCGAAATTTGTGGAGTCGCTCTGTAGCATTTGCTTGCAATTGTGTAACAGTCAATGAATATCCAGGAAAGTTCAGGAAGACGTATTCAAAGAGAAGATGGATATTCAGTGAACAAGATGCATCTGAGAGTTTTACTTCCTTGTCCAATAGCCTGCACATGTTCAGTTGATTTTTCATGAAGTAAGCTACTCACAAGGTTGCCGAAAACTCTTCGATAGCCCACGACCGGTCTAGCCCTTGTTGGGGCTCATCAGGTAGGCACAGTCCCCGAGTTTCCGTCAACCGTATGTTCTATTGAACCCAAATTGCACTGTTTTCGACTAATACAATCATTTGCAAATCAATTTGGTTTTCACGAGAGACTCAACTGAATCTCTCGTTTATGCTATTCTACGACTGAATGTGCTGCACAAAGGCCGCCTCATGCTTCAGTTGGCACGACATTCCAGATATCGCAGTATATTTTCTTAAAGGAAACTTTTCAGTTGATGTTTTCTCATAAAGAACTCCGCAGCGAAGGTCTCATTCCTTTTACGGGTATTCACACAGAAAAGGTATCACATGATAAATCAATCTAAAATTAAATAGAAAAGTTCAACTCACCTCAGATTCCTTCACTTTCAGTTCGTTTCTCAGCGAATTACACTCATTTTGTAGCTGCTGGTAATTCTGCATGTCAGTCGCCTGCTTCTGAGTCTAAAACCGAACCAAAATGAAGTATGTAATTTTGGTTTCACACCTTCTTGTTTGACTCACCGATACAATCCGAAAAAAAAACATTTATCACACATATGTTACAGTGTTTGACATATTGGTGGTATCAATCGAAGTCCGCTTAAAATTACAAAAGTTTGTGATAAAAGAACGTCGTGGTATCAGCGTTTTCAAAAATATTAAGAAACAAATACATCCATTTCGAGAAAAAAAGCCCAAACTGATTGAGACAACAAAACACACCGAAATCTCGTCAATAAATTTCCTAAATGTACAGGTGTCAAAAGATGTGGTTGTTGACGGAAGCAGTTGTGAATAAAAGCAAGTCATCTAAATAGATGAAAATATACCTTTGCTTCCGCAGCCCCCAGACGTTGAGTCATATCGTTGATTCGCATTTCCAGTTCACTGCAGTATTGTCGGGTGTTATTCAGTTGATGCGTGATATTTTCCACCTGAGGAAATGAATGAACAGTCATAGAAATGACGTAGTTGGCTAGGAATCAAGCTTCTTTACAGGAAAAATATGATAGGAGGTGAACTTACAAATGGTAATATACTTTAACGTAAGACCAGGCCGGGTATGACAAAGAAATGTTTCACCGAATTATCTCGTAATTTACCGAAAGTCAGAGTTATATCATGTGGTCTATGGCCATGTTTGCGGTGCGTGACGTAGTTTCATTTTTCCTAAAATCTGTCACAGTAATCAGGGAAAACAGTGAACTGCATCATAAAGAGGCCTTTCACATCAGACGGGCTCACATTTTTACCCTTTGACAGGGTGGCGCATCGAGTTTGCTGCACATGTTTTACTTTCGGTGCCGTAGACCGGTTTATTTGCCCCGCATTTATTCACACTTGTACTCGTTTTCCCTATCACTGTCTTTTCTGTTACTCATTTTCTATCCATTGCACTCACGCACACACACGCACGCTGACATGCTCAATCTGCGTTTGATGACTACTCACTTCTGAACCCCGCTACGAATCTACCGTAGCTTAACATCATTGTATTGATTAGCGTCTGTTGCACGAACATTCGGCTTTCTACTGCGTACCAGAAATGCTGTCGTGTTAAGTCGGCTTCTGCAGTCCGGATTGTAAGAAGCAGATGTAAATGTGGAATATACTGTGTGTTGGGCACGAACTTCGATCGTTTATTACCGGGCTGTAAGTCTGATCAGTCCATCATGCATTCCTCGGTTTACTATGCGTTTTAGCTAAGTTCTTACTTCGAATTTAAGCCGTCCACATGTCCTCATTAACACAGCAGAAGCGTAAGCCCACAATCTTTTGTGAAGCAGGGCAACCATAACAACTGAGGCCCAATGAAGGTGAGGCATATGTTCAGTGGTGCCTGAAAGAACTAAGGTCCCGGAACCAAATATCAAAATACGGGCGTTTTCTCCACATTATTAAAATATACGACCTAATTTCCCGCAGCTGACTGATTTGTGTAGTTTCTATCCATCACACACTTGTTTGAAGCGCAATTAACTTGACCTGGCGCGACTATTTCGGTCTGTCCGCACTGAAGAGGGAAAGTAGTGAACTCGAGTTTCACTGATACTCAAACTTTGTGGTCAAACCAGAACGTGATGTTCCGTTCATACATGATTATTCCGGCGGCTTTAGCTTTCGCTGATGGACTAACGACAATACAGTTGCCCCGTGTGTCAGCGTGAATCCTTGCATGACCAAGGATGTGCAGTTCGGGCAGGGTTTAATACGAAACCCGCGACCAGTGCTTCCTCATTTAGAGTGGGCAAACCAGAAAAACGGCACCAGCGCAAGAAGAGGACAGGTATCCATACGGCCGTTGAGACCAAGTATATCGTAGCACGCTTTCAAATTTTCAATCGATGTTGAGCTGATGGTCAACAGTGCCATTCTAGTCTTGAGAGGCGGGTCAATCGATTGACACAACCAGGATAGTTACTGATTTGTCGTCGGGCCCACCAGTTACACCACTCAAGCGTGAACATGTTCGCTTGTTCAGACGTGGCAATTCAGATACATTCAGTGTGAGCTAGCAGAGTAGTGGTAACACCCTCGGCTTCGCATGTCAGATGTTCGGAGTGAAAACCCCGGCACGGCCAAGGATATACACTGCTGAGCTCCAATAACCGGTCAACACTGCAACTCAACTGATAGAGCTTTCACTCAACATACATCTGTCAGCAGACTGGAGTTTGACCACTGACATCTGTTGCTCTTTCGAAGTTGTCACTGATGGTTTCTCAGAGTAGCTATTGTTTATGCTAAACAGGACAGACGTCGATTCGATGCTTGACATGAGGGATACCATTTGGCCGGATGGGATGCCACTCTGGCGGCACAACAAAGAGAGATGGCTGTTAACGAATTTAAAGTCATATACAGGTATATGAGCTAACCACATTTTGAATATACTTCTCACTGGACCGAGTTATTATTGTGCGGAAGATGGCATTACGCTGAGCGAATACGTTCACTCTGGTGAAGGGAAATAAGACGGTTCGGTTCCTACCCGGGCAGTATGAAGTAACTCCAAACTATAAAACGCATTTTATTTCTAACCACGTGAAAGATCACTTCAGTAAGCTGCGTTCAGAGTACACCTGAAAGTAGAAATTAACTAAATTCATTTCTATGGTATTCAAACAGGGTAAAAATCTATCCCTACCTGATTAGTCTTGTCCGCAAGTTGTTGTTGAGCCCACCTCAACTTCTCATTGGTCTCATTCTGTTGAAATTGTGTTCGTTCCATTTCCTCCTGTTGACGTTTGGCCTGGAGAAGTTTAATGGCGAAGATAGGGATGAAAAAATCCAATACGCGGTCAGATAGCTCACGTTGTAAAGCATCGTTCTATTTTCCATTTAAAGTTAATACAACTCTGTTGAGAAAGCTAGACAAAAGTGACGTCAATCAGTTGCTTTGCTGATTCCTTTTGCTTTAGTACTATCACACTATTTTTCTCTCGTCGCAGCTTACGTCCGTCCCGATGTGATTATTCTGAGATTTCGTGCCTTAGTACTACTCACTGGTTGTAATGGTTCTATTCTACTATTACAGGATTCGGTGTTCTGCTTACATGGTCCCTTCGGTTGTACCTGAAGTTTTATTCATCTAACAAGTTATTTCAATAAACGTGTAAAAAACAAGCCGATATTTACCATGTCTTTTTCCATAGCTTCTTTGTGTTCTTGCAACTCTCGAACCTTCTTTTCCTGTTGTTCTAAATCGTTCTTCAGTTTCGCAACTTGTTCGCGCAATTGTTGCGCCTCGGCTTTCGCCGACTGCTCGGCATCCTGGGCAGCTCGCAACTGACCCTGAGTAGCCTCGTACTCCCGGTGTACTCGATCCAACTCACGTGACAGTTGACTGGCTGAACCAGAAGCTGATAACGGGCCCAGGTTTTCGTAACTACCGGGTCCTGCGGAGGCGGGTCTCATTCCAAACAAGTTGGCGACGGAACTAACTCCACTGGTTGCACTGCGACCTCCGGAACGCCTCAGCTGAAAACGTAAGGTTTTTGCAACACATAAGTTAGTGGTTTATGGAGTAAAGATTGCAATGTGATACATACATTACTGCACAAACATCATCTATTCTGCGTGGCTACTGCTGTTTTCAATGCTCTGTTATTCAGGAAAACATTTTAAGTTAGGGATTTTAAGATCTCAACCATTGGTCTGAGCATCATGGCCCAGCCTACTTCGGTCACATCGCGGCAGTTATGGAAACGGGGAAGGTTTCAAGAGAAAGAACGAAGCCGCTGGGTAAACAACCTGATCCAACTGGTCCCGAAGGTTATCCCTCTGTCTGGCAATCGAATCGCAATTGTCTTGGGTTTCCTGTAGTTGACGACTAAGCTGTTGTATGCGCGAACTGGCCTGACGAGCTTCACGTTGATAGCGCTCAGCTTCTGCACTGGCGTTGCTTACCGTCTGCGTCAAGTTGGCAACCTGTTGTTGCAATGTTTGCTGTTGAGGGAGAAAAGGTCAGATATAGCGTGGATTATGACTTTGTGAATAAATTTTTCGTAGTGGAAAACCAACATAAAATTGGTCAGCAACTACATTTTGGTAACCTCCGGACCCTACGTGGTTCGGTCGTCGGTGAATGAAATCTATGAGAACTGAATTGGCGTTTTTAATCCGACACTTTGGCGTCCATGATCATCTTAATAAGAAAGGAATAAGAAGCATTAAATGACGGAAAAAGTAGACTAGTAAAGCAGCTGTTAGACTGCTGTTCTGCGTACAGCGTCAGCTACAACGTGAGAGACGATTGGCCATAATTTTAATCTAGGTGGGGTTGTGTAGCCGGTATCACAAAATTCAAATCGGTTTGTGGATTAGGAATAACAACAGTGCGGAAGCTTTTACTAAAAGCTTCTAGAATCTCAAATACAGTGACTGTGAACAGGTATCGCTAAACCGAACAGAATCACTATCCCCCTAAATGGTTAGACATCGAACTTGGTTGCACAACAACAGCAGGATTATTTCCCGTAGCCGTCTCTTAACCGCTTGAAGAATCGCTGCAGTAGCAGATGTCACCGAATCGTGACCCCAGGGCGCTCAGTGATGAAAAAACGACAGCTGGTACTTGTCTGGCTTGTTTTGTTCATGATTTTCACCAGTTTCCAGTTTCCTGTCCTTGACGAAACGGCTATAACAATGATTAAAGATCCCTTTGAAATTTAGGGTAAGACTTTCGAAGAAGAGGTAGGTAGGCCTCGGTACGACAGGCGATAGAAGTCAAATTACTCACCTTTTCAAGCATAATCTGTTGTTGAGCATCAACATAAGATGTTTCGGCGTGAGAAAGAGCCACATTTAACTGCTCTTTTGCCTGATCCCGCTCTTCTGTGACTTGGCGCAGACGAACCTGTAGATCGGCTAGAAGAAGCTGTTGACTTGTCGAATCTGACAATCGATCACGCATAGCTGACGAGGACTGCTGTCGTTCCAGTTCCTTGGTGAGACAGGTAATCTAAAAAAATATGTAGCGCCTTTAGGCATCGCAATACAACTCCGTCCGTAATTTACAATGGATTGCTTTTTACCAAGTCGATACTGATTTCATTTTGAAAGTCAAAAAGATACCCTTGCAGCTTCCACAGAAAAACAGTAAGTTTGGCTCCAAGTGGTTTGTTCCTTTTTATAAACAGGAAAACATTCGAGTCCTGTTCGTTAGTATACTATCGACCCTGCTGTGTGACGCCAAATAACACTGAATGGAACGGACCGATTAACTGGTGGCAGTTACATTCCACAATTGGGTGTGATTGATGTATTGAGTATCACAAAGTTCTTCATAGCAGCCCGTTGCCTTGCGTGATTCTGTTACTCCACGTTGGCGTTCTCCGCGATTTTTCACTCAAGCACTGGGCTGACTTTCTGATACAGTTCCACAGATGCGAATGGAACCATACTTTACGGTTACCACCCCCTTGCATCGACTTGTTTTAGCCGTCAAAGTTCTCTCATGGACTTGGTGTAGTGAATTCCGATTAGCTTAGCGTATTAACAATCACATTTAGGTTAAAGCCAAGTTATGGGATTTGCTGCTCCCTTTAGAAAGTAGTGAAATAAATGTCAATACCTTATTAAAACACTTAAATTCGTGGATTAGTTCAATGAAAATTTCATCCAATCTATTGTCAAAAGCCAAGAAGCACTGTACAGCTGTTCCATTCTTATTGGGAGTCGTCAGTAGTGCGCATCTTACAAAACTCCAGGATGTCTCGAATGCGGGCCTCTCCAGCCGGTAGTTGAACACTTAACCGTTTGGCCATGAGCGGCTGATCAGCAGTGTGATTAGTCCTCACAGCGCCATTCATCCTTCCATCAAGGGAGCCACATCACGTGTTAATGTACTGAGTGGCTCCGTTGTAGGCGATCAGCCAACCGTGGTCAAATGGTTGTGTTCAACCACCGGTCTGAAATTCCCTGAGTTTCGTGAGATGCGCACTGCTGATGATTCGCAACAAGAATGAAAAAGTCGTACAGTGCTTCTCGGCTTTTCAGTATAGATTAGATTCACCGGCAGAGCAAAATCATTCCTTCCACGACCATGAACCATGGAAGAATACTGGGTCACATCAACTTTTGCGGTGTTTAACCCTCTAAAACGACCCGGCCCTATCAACAGAACGGTTTACACACCATGAACCTAAATGTATTCAAGTACAACATGTAGCCTTTTCGTAAGCGAAACGGTGCATCACTTTCAGTTTGGAGTTGGCTAAAACGTCACTGCAATTCAGTCCAACTGAATTGCGACATGTTAAGCGAGAGAAACAAAGACTAGACAGCTAAAGGATAGCTTCGAACGGTTACCAGCACAGCAGCATTTGATGAAGTTTATAATGAAACTGACTGACTCCATTATACGCGTCGTATACTAGTATTTTTACGTGGTATTTGTGAATGTAAGATAGAACGCGTGAACAAGACTCGGTTATTCGGAATAATATAAACGTTTTTTACGTCAGAAACGTCTCCTTCCCCATCGACATTTACACACGGGAATTGGTTTGGTCAAGTGTTTTTGCTCACCTCTTGAAATGTCACCTTCGGTTGTCGTCTTAAGTATCCTGTGAACAAATGTCGGTCATCCGTAGTAGAGCATTCGACTCGACCGGTGGCATAGGTGACAGGAAATTTGGTCGTAAGTTTTGGCTTTGACGACTATTTATGAAACTGAATTCCCGTCAATGACTCTTGCTGTCGGTTTACTTGTATCTAAGGCTAATCTTTTGAAACCAAGGGGCTTGCTTAGAGCTCTTGGTCGCGCTCTGCTTAATTATTTTGCCTTCACTAGCCAATCTTCCCCTATGGCTCTTCTGTAAACCGAAACAACGCTCCTGGTGACCAGGTGTGTCAGCATGAATTCACATCAGACTGACTACCCTCTTGCTTCAAAAGACGTAGTCTCTCAAAACAAGCGGGGCCTCTGAAATCTGGTTCGTCTGTCATGCGCGCGTCTTGGTCATATGAAATGCACCAATTGGCGCACAGTCACGGTCAACATGGAGTTTCTACGTGTGGTCCGTGGACCGAACAAGTAAACAATCAGCTGGTTGTACACTCAATGCTTACTTCATCGCACCATCGATAGGCTCTTCCTAATACATCGAAGTCTCCTCCTTTAAAGTGGTTTTAAGCTTCAACTAGTGCCAGTTTTGTTCAAAGGGTCCTATTTTTTTTAATCAAATTACTGATGTCTAGTACGAGCGATCCGTAGTTTACTGACCCTTATTCTGACTGGTCACTCAGATATGGGTGCACCGTGGACAGGTTGTTACGCACAGCCATACAAAAATCACGGAGTACTCGGTTGAACAGATTAATCTTAGAAGTATGTTTGGATAGTTTTGAATCCAGTTTCTGCTCTGGATTGAGAGTTGCTAGTTTTCTAGTTTGACCCTAAGAATCCTGTCTCTTGACAAGAAACAAACTATCTGAAACATCAAAAAGTTAGTCGGATAGTATCCGAAATAATTGCTCCTAGAAACATCCGTATTCCGCTCAGAGAAACTAACCTGTGCTTCTTTTCGTTCAAGCTCATTATGCAGTTCACTTATCTTCAAAGAAGCTCGACGCGATTGTTCGGAATTCTCCTGCGGATAAAAGAATCAAGAACGGACGAAAAACTGAAGCTCAGTCAGTGTGAATAGTTGCTGTATTTGGTGCAGGAGTTTAGACTACTGTGTGGTTCTACTTCATGTTACAAATTTGGGAAATAGCTCGATGGTGGGGGCCTAAATTTTACACCGGCTATCATCCGATCAAAATAAGCTCGAATTTGTGTCAATCTCGGATAGGTGAGCGGCAGAAAAGCTAACAAACCTCTGGACATCACATTGGACATTACTTCAAGATATCCTAAAGTGTGAGCCGCAACCAACTAGCTGAGTGCAAGCATATATTAAATGGAATGAGAGATTGCAGATGTTTGGCTCCGTCAGATCATTACGAGGTGTATCACTGACCAAATTTATATTCCTCTGTTGTGGACTCTTTGAGAGAATGCAACCTCATGTGACTAACTTTCAGAAACAGCACATTTCGAATTTGAAACACAGTATGAGAACTCACTGTCTGGGCCATTTTTGCGCGCCATTCCTCATCCGTAGAGCGCAGCCGTTCTTCCAATTTAGCTCGCTTACCAATCTCCTCATCCAGCTGAGTTCGCAAGTTGTTCCGTTGCACGGTTAACTGGTCATGCTATTGGGACACAAGAATGTTGCAAACAAACGCTCAGTTACGACATGAAACAGTGTGTCCTTTCAAGCAATTAACATCAGTGTCGTCTGAAAAGTACTCATCCTGTCATTGTGCAATTACTATGATTAGCATCACTTCTATTCAGTGTAGACTAATCAGGGTAATCCCACCAGGACTCAAACCGGGTTGTCTAGACCAAAATGACGTGAATGCAAATGCTGGAGTCCGCTTTTGATTGATTGATGGCAATATAGTCAACGAGCAAGAATGGAGGTTTCGTTTAATTTGGTAAAATACGAATTTTTTTTATTTACAGTAGAGACCTTTTTAGTGTGTCTCTCATTGAGCGAAGGACTATACGAAGTCAAAACGATTGAATGATAGAACACGGTTTTATCAACTTCTCCAAAGCTTTCGACATAGACTAATTTGCTTTGTATTATGGTTCTCAGTATCATTATTTTCAATCCTCTTACACCAAAAAACGCCGTCCATCTAAGTCATGCGAAGTGCGATTAACTTGTGCCTCCTATAGTGGACGAAGCTTCAACACCAAAATTACGCAGGATAACACACCAGGTGACCACGCTGTTTTGCTTCAAATCTTTCGAACTACTCATTAACATACATCGTGGATTCGTCCGACACAGGAGCTGCTGAGTAGTATTGCAGTGCTCCCCAAAATACATCATCATCATCGACAGCATTACGTCAGTGTTGAACGCCGATGCTTCACTGCCGTACAACCATGACTTATTTGAAAGCCTTATTGTGAAGAAAAGAATAAAGATGGATGGGGAAGGGCGCCAGCTTAACACAATCATTCTGAGGAGCCTACACCTCCAGACACTCACTCAGGAAATCTGGATAGAAACTGACAACAAGATCGCCACTGACATCGGTTGGCAACCATATCTTGCAGCGTCTCCAACCAGGCGCATTGAGAATCATGCAGTCCCATCCTGGAAGGCGAGTAGCACCGACAGCACCCAAACATTATTGATTTCTTTCACACCCCCTGCCAGGTCAAGGGTTTGCAACCACTTTGCTCCTGCCACTTTGAATGGGGGACTGAAAACAGCACTCTCTTCGGCAAACGATGGTTAGGCATATGGTGGTGGACACATTCTTCAATGGAAGCACCCGTTGCACAACCCAAAACGCGCTTTCTAATTGCCTTGTTACGGATTCACCGACACCAACTCACACGAGCTATGATTTTGGGACAACGATTGTCGAACACTTGAAGACATCTCAGTTCCGCTGCTTGAATAGGCCAATTCTCACAGCCATACAAAAAAACAGCCCGTACTGTAGCTTGATACACATGTCCCTTGAGATTCAGGGATAAACCACTGTGAAGCTGTACGTGTCTCAAACTAGCAAACGCGACCGGACCATTGTAGATTCGTGTATTGACCTCATCTGTCACACTACAGTCAGAACTAATACAACGTCCAAGATACGTAAAATGCTCCACATATTAGAGTGCTTCCCCCTGGATTGTAAGTGGCGTGTTCAGTGGCTGGATGTCCACGGGCGTGACGTTACATTTTGTGGGTGCAAAGTGCATACCAAAGGACGGGATGACTTCGGTCAGTTCATCCAAAGACACCTGCGCCTTCTCCTTCTCTTCGAACATGAGAACGATGTCGTCTGCATATTCCAGAGTGACAAGGCTTTCGCCACAGGCTATTTGAATATTGGGATTTCGAGGACCTTCCAACGTTCGTTTCATTATTTCATCAATCACGAAGTTAAACGAGAATGGAAGGAGTGGGCATCCTTGACGGACATCAGTTTGTTTACGCAAGCTTTTGGAGAGCTCGCCGTACACTCTCACACGGCCGGAGGTTGCATGTTTCGATGGTCAGTCGATTGAAAGTGCAGGTGAAATTTGAAAGCCTGTACGATCGAATAAACATTTTGATGTTGAGTTAATGTCTCAATTTGACTGCATTTCCTTAATGCCCTAGATCCTAAATGACCGGTAAACATTGACACCTGATTTCACATAAGACAGCAGTATTTCATCAGAAAAACGGCTGCTAAGCAAACTGCGAACCTGTTTTTTACGTGGACTAAGCACAGACACCTAGTACAGGTATCTCAAAACAATAGGCACACGTGGGCACAAAAAATGATAGGCGCATCCGAGCTGCATAAATCTTGTAAGCCAACACTAATGTGTTGTGGTCTGCAAATCTGGTATTCTATTGGTTTGATGGGGTTATTAGGTCAACTTTCGACTCGTCTGTTCCTGGGTGCTCTACGAAAACTGTCCACGGCCCCCCGAATGAAGCAGACATCGGAACTGATCGAAGTTCTGGAGAATCTTTATGTGAGTTCAAATAACACAGCACTGCATTCTTTGAAAATCTTATGGTTTTGTTTCCCGGAAACCAGTGTCTTCATTTTGACTATTCAATGACCGGACAGACAGACCGCCTGGTTGTATACCAGATGTAATTAACGTTCTTCTCTGTGACTGAAAAGAAGATTCATTAACATATGGGGTTTGCTGCACTTTGAAAATGTTATGTTGAAGATGTGCTGATATTTACAGCCAGTTTGTTAAATTTTCAAATCAGATAATTTCAATGCACCATAATTTACAGTTCAGTCATATGAGCATATTCCACATTGGGCGATAATAGGTACCGTGCGACAAATGAACAGTTCAGTTTGGGGGCACCTAGAAAACAAAAGACATCACGTATATAGCAGTACTATCTTTGAAGTCATCTAAGAGTGCAGTCTAAAACTGCCAAGACTGGCAAGAACACCGATGTTAAATATAGCTCAAGCGGCCGCCATCCGTATCCATAAGCTGGAACGTTGTTCCCAGCAGCATTTTGTCCAGATACGGTGTTTGCCTTGACCGGAACCACATAAATTGCGTGCCGTCAGACAGGTTACGTGTTTTTAGTGATCTCCACGAAACATTTGACCCCACTGCCCTCACTGATCCATCCTTACTCTAATCACCTTACTCCTGTGTTACGTTCTCTCTTGATTAGCTGTTTTTACTGATTTTTTAATATTCGGTGGATGTTTTTTGTAATCCACGTGTACGTCTATGTCTGATGACAAGAATCTAGAAAGTATTACTTCACTCAAGTATTTACTCTGAATAGGTCTCTGAGACCACTCCAGTTGAACAACCGAATTCCTCACTCTGTCCGGTTGACAGCAGGACACGTGACATAGAGAGCCCACTAGTTTTATTCGAGCACAGTTCATAATACTAAGGTCGCGTATTGTGCACCCCATAGGCCTGGGGACTTCTGAAGAGATGTTGGCAAAGCGTGCGCAAACAAATTTATGTGTCAACAGATAGGAATAATTGGTTGGTTAATCCCTATTTTGTTTCTGACCTACACGTCCTTCATCCGTATCTCTGAAATTCTCCTATTTGTATCTGTTTTGTGACTTGCGTACCCATTGCTGGTGGAGAGTTCTCGCATACAGTAACACACAGCTTCTTGCTACTTTAACATAAAGACACTGAACTGGAAAATCATATCCCCTCGGTTTTTAAGTAGCTGACTCCCGCTACACATGGACTATGATCTATAATGACTCACTTGTATTTGGAGATCGTCAAATTGCTTCTTCAGTTGTTCATGTGTGCTGGTCAGCTCTATATATTGCTTCCTCGTTCGTTCCAGTTCCCGATTAGCAGTGAGGGATGACGTTGAACTGAAAGTGGTCTGAGGAATGATGAAGAATTTGAATGAAACCTCAAGTGTGACCAGATTTCAAAGCGTAGAACACAGCGGGGATTCAAATTTGGATGGATTTACTTAGCTTACTTCTAAGTAGTCACTTGTTTTGTTGCGTACGAATCAAAAAATCACTTCGTCTAGAATATGCTCCTCTTATCTTGGTGGATTTGTTCGGTCTAGTTCGCAGAGATGCATGAGGCTTAGACTGTGCTCCTATCAGTAGTAAGTTGCTTCTACCCTATCCGGATTTTAGCTCCGGTCGGATCAGATAAGAGACAAGGGTAGTACTGATGACCCATGTAGGCGAAGTACATAGTCCAAAGTGACAAGGATGTCTGAACTTGCGAGTGGATTGCCGGAGGTTGATGAGCGCCCGTAATACACCTGCCTAACGCACCTAGACTACTGTTTGGTTAACTACACGTACCGTTACAAGGGGAGAAGTATTCGGATGAGATTCACGTGAATACAAAATAACTTTTCTGTCCTGCAAAATTTTCAATTTTTTTGGCTATTTCTCCGCTGTCGAAGCCTAATATTAGGCGGATAATTCCCAGCCTGGGCATTGGAGTTGAACATCGAGAACTGAGGAGCCATGTTATTGTTCAAAATGATTCTTTTTCACATCTGGTGTCCGAAATGTTCACGTCTAGGGCCAAACGGCATCCGAGCTCTCGTATTTTTTCACCGATTACATCGTGTGTGCTGGAATTATTCAGTGGTCCGCTAACTATTTTCATCCGCTTTTGTTATTTACTGAAAAAATCTATTTCATGATCGATGACCAATCCCATTTTCGGAGTATTGGATACTTCTTTATAAATTATAGATTATGGAAAGGATAGGCTGGGGTTGTAGTGATTTCGCGGACTACACGGAAATTCATCGTAAAAATGCAGGTTCCTGCTTGACAGTACCGGAACAAATGTACCTGTATGATATGCCACGTACAATAGAACAGTATACATCCATATTCATACTCAGTGAGTTGATTCATCTAACTGATGACGACAGCCAGCTCAGAGGTGGCTGGAGATTATAAACGGGATCAAAACACCAGCTATTCTTAAACAGGCGAAAAATACTATCAACATTTCCAAAGCAGAGGATGCGCTTTCCTCCATGAAACTGATGCAGCTGGTGCTGCAAGAATCAGGGGTGATTCTTTGAAGGCAAATTACAAACCTCATTCAGAATATGGTTGGATTTAATAAAAGCGTTACCGGTGGGACACGAGCCGATTGTGCGGGAATGCCGGAGATGGGTACTGTCGAACCAGGTCGATCTTGATGATCCAACAGCCGTTGACGAAGACTGTCCACTTGGCTCTCCAGTTCCGTATTTCCTTTTCGCAATCCATGAATCTCGTCCAGTAAATCATGCTGCTCGGGGATAAGTAGATTGGGGGACCATATGAAATGCTAATACAAGTAGGAAAGTGCTCGTTCACTCTCAGATATTATGTTCGTTATATGGCCAGTGGAAATAGTTGCATTGTTATTGGTATGGAAGTCTCTGTAAAAATTTGAGTCTATGTAGTCTTATTTTATCCGGTCTAGATTATCAATTCGTGAATTGCCGAATTTTTGATCGATTAATTGTTGAGTCGTGTTAGTGGCGTGGTTACGACACCAAGCCTAAGGAGAACAGCTGATTTAATTGTACCATGTTGTCAATCCTTATGAGAGAAAAGACGGAAGAAAATAACTGCTCTTATGTCCTATATAGGTATGATATCGGTTAAAGAGAAAAGGTCAGCCCATTTATGGTTTTCTAAACACCAAACGTGAAATGAAAAGGGAGACTAAACAACTCACACATGTGGGACCACTTTGCTGACTTTGTTAGGTAAAGGCCTACTGACCATGGATTGAAGAATTTTCACAAGCTAGCAAGACGGAAGTCGCGTGCAACCTTTGGACAAGGCGTACAGTCTTCAAGTCTTCATCAATGAATGTACATGCTCTAAGCAAATCTTACAAGGTTGACGAAGCAGTTGGATTAGTTACAAGGAACAACACGTTATCGGGAAACCAAGGGTTAGATTTATTCAACTCCTCCTAATTCGCTACTGTTTCTAAGTTTCGGGGATTTGAGCGTGATACGAGCGCTTTCTAATTGATACATGAATTCAAGGTATGTAAAAACTTATGTCACTCTGAATCTGCTCGATAAGAACAGTATCAGTAACCAAGGCACTTTGCGTTACGCTTGCAAGAAGCTATACCATAATGACTTCAACAATTCAAGAACAGGGGCACTAGGACACATAAAAAACACTAGCATATCCGTCCTACATACTTCAAAAATTTGTTAATGGAAGCAGTCAACACTTCGTGATGTGTTGTGTCAATAGGTTAAAAAAATGGAATAACCGCCCAAACCAATAATCCCCGAATTGTCAGATGTTTTTTTTACAAGTTACGCAAAATTAATTGGCTACTCACTAGTACTGAGATTTCGTCCTCCAAGTGAAACAAATCTATGACGAAAAGCTGAGGAACACTGTTTCATCCTTATTGGAAATTATCAGCAGTGCGCGATTCATGAAAATCCACGACGCTTCGAACATATAAGCTCCCGGTCTGTCAGCATAGAGCGACTTCAATCACGCGACGAATTTTCAACTGTAATTTCAAACTCCCCTCACACCACCGATATTCAGATATCCAGATTCTTAAAAAACACCCATGCATGTGCTGAGATTCACACTGCCCATCCACCCCAATGGAGTTGGCAATTTCTTAATAGGGGGGCCAAGAATGTGACATTTGAACCTAAATAGCAACTAATCAGACCTCTTTACATCCACCTGATCAAACCTAGCCAGAACTGAAGGCGATTCATACTACTTTGCAGGAATCTGTCATCTTTACAGCTGTGAATCATGTACTCCCGAATGTTAAATTTACTCAATTGCTATTTCCCTCTTGAGTTGTTTGGTGAAATTTCCTGCCACATTTGATCATAAGTCTTCATGCTATGGCCGGTTGAGGAATAGATATCGATATCCGGGTGAGTGTTCTGACAAGCGGTGCATACCAGACTTGTAGAATCCGTGGTGAGTACTCACTATTTCGAATCTTTGTCGCGAAGAGCCTGTAGCCCAAAATACGGTGCAAAAATTCAATGTCCAATGTCCGTCTCTATCATATTGATTGTCGTCCCACAAAGATCGGGTAGGATTGAGATGAGTAACATGGCGTAATCGATTTTTCGGTTTGCAATAACGACGATTCATCTCCAGTTGTTCTTTTACCAATCATAACTAAGACACAAGTGCATGTATATTTTGTTGTCACCGGTTAACTTCTCGTAAGCGTTATATAAAAGGCGTCACACTTTGGCCCAAACGGTGACTGTTATTCCTTGGTTATCAGGATGTAGTCATCATATTGTTCCTTACTGCCTCCAAAAATGTTACAAGAATAGTGCCACATAGGTATTCCAGTCGCCAACTTCACACAGTTTACTCCTTTCTCCATTTTTGTGCATAGATGAATAAGTGAGTGGATCGTTCAGCTGTATTACCCTTTGGGTGGCTAGCTGCAGTGCCACCGAAGGAAGCACGGGGGCTGAGTTACCGCCAGGCTGCGTAAGCCTAGACAGCAGTAGGCGAGATGCCGGGCTTGGATTCAAACTCCGGATCTTCCGAAAGTAAGTATGCTCTTAACCGTTTAGAAAAATGGGCTATTAGCATAGCTAGTTCATCATTAAAGACGAAATAAATCGTAACCTAGACAATCACATGATAACTTTCTTAAATGGTTTGGTGTTTGACAGCTGACTCGCTACACACAAGGTTGCTGCGTTTGCCACGTATGAAACCAAAAGGCATCCAGTGACTTGCCATCTGAACTAGGGTAGATTCCACGAAGGTAACTAAAAGATTTTTTAGATTTGAACGAGAACCGTTTGGATGAGAACTATACTAGACATGCTCTGCTGAACAACTCACGTTTTCCGATTCCAACTTTCTTAAACGCATCTCACGTTCTTCCACACGCTTCTGACTCACAGACAGGCGACTGTTTGCATCTTCAAGGGATGACTGAAGGCGAGAAATTTCATCCGTTTGGCAACGCTGGAAAGTTTTAAAACAGTGACGATGATAGGTAAGGCCAAACCATACGCTTCCAATAATATTTGCTTACTTCGTGCTTGGTTCGCTTTAATCGTATGCTTCGTATACATTTTGGGGAACTTATGATCAAACGACAAATTATCTTTTCGAAAAAGTTTGGTGACAATCGGTAGATTTATTGCTGGGCAACGTTCCGCTTTTGACACAAAAACTTCGTAAGGCTGAGTGACTCAGCTCCGAGTTTGGTCGAGATTCAGGGCGGAATGAGAACCAATCAGCTAAGTCGAGTTAAATCTCTGTTGGATTTTTGTGTGTTAGGGTGGTTGAACAAGCATTGGGTCGGTGGGGAAACCTATGTGTGCAGCACATTCAGCTGGAGGACATCATAAACGAGAAATTCGATTGAGTCTCCTGCGAAAACCGAATTGATTTGCAAATGAGTGTATTTCTCGAAAACAGTGTAATTTGGGTTCAAGTAGATCATAAGGTTGACGGAAACTCGGGGACTGTGCCTACTCGATGAGCCCCAAGAAGGGCGAAATCGGTCGTGGGCTATCGAAGAGTTCACAGCAACCTTGTGAGTAGTTTCCTTTATGAAACCTAAATGTGTTTGGGTCCAGCCTAAGGTCTAGTTCTTCTGGTTCGGTCCATTTGATGGTCCCTCTTGAACTTCGTTTGAATTTTTTGTTCGTCTGTGTCGATGAGCTAGTGCTAAGATAGCTGTGTAAGAGGGATGCTGTGACCTTTAGTCGGGTTGGGATTTCCACACCCACCCACCCCCGGTTTTTGCTAATGATTCTACATGTATTGACAACCACACCATCACGTCACGTCATCACGGCTTATCTAAGATCACTTTCCATACGCACGCCAGTTCCACACCCTCGATTCTATTCACGCTATCAGCCGATGTGATGTGAACCGCAGTCTCCGTCTTAAAACCTCCACATTCTCCAGATCTATTTTACACCCGTGTCCAAGGCATGTACCGCCATCGCTGAGTCTTTGAACAGCATTCCTTGGTGGTTTGTTTATCCTTCTTTTATGCTCACCAATTCTAATTTGCAATTCCCTTTCGAAAATGATGACTACCCAATCAGTTCCAAGTATTTTTTGCGTGACTGAATAAATTATCTTATTTCGATTTATGCTAAACAGTAAACAACATTGGGTCGTAACACACTACTCATAAGGTTGTTGAAAATTCTTCGACAATTCATGACCGGTTTCACCCATCTTGGGATTCATCAGGTAGGCGCAGTCCCTGGGTTCTCGTCAACCTTTTATTCTGCTTGAAGCCAAATTGCTCAAGCTTGGCGAAATACACTCATTTGCAAACTATTTTGGTTTTGCGGGTGGCCCACCAGGAACCCAGCTTAACCTCTCGTTTATGGTGTTTTCAAGCGACTGAATGTGCTGTACCAGGTCGCTTCATGTTTCAGTTTGTACGATATTCGAGATATCGCAATACATATATAGACATAATACACTACTCATAAGGTTGCTGGAAAATTTTCGACAGCCCGCGAGAGCTTCATCTGGTTTCCAGGTGGGTTTCCCGCAAGAGCGAATTTGTTTGTACATGAGTATATTTTGCTAGACTATATTTGGTTCTTTGAATCGAGGCCTTATATTAGAGGCCACTTGGGCCTGGAATGGGGTCCATGTTAGTTTGGTGATTTGGAAAATAGCTGAGTCGAATGCGCTTGGGAGATCCTTCAACAATGTAATACCAAACAAGTGCGTCGAAAAAATTCACGTGTAGTCCACAACAACAGTCATCCATTGAAGGCCGGAATCACCGAGCAAAGCAGCGAATCTTCCGAGAACTAGTAACTCTGGAGAAAAGATAAATCTGACCGCCAGTTCTTGTCTACATTCTTTCAGAACACAAAAACTTTACGAATGGCTTAAAGCCCTGTGTTCCCAAGATTGGACTTTGTGTAGACTCTTTCCACTTGACTAATACACTCGAAATTTCGAACCAATACTTAAGATTTATGAAACTCCAAGCCTTATTGGAGGTAGCAGTTTATTCACATGCTACTTCGCAGCTTGCGTTAAGTCAGTACTCGTGTTACTGAGACAGGCACACAAAAGTAAGACGAAATTTTCAAGTCAATTACCATTTCGCTCGCCTGAGATTTGATTTCATGATCTTTCTCGTCCAGTTTCATTTCCAAGTGACTGCAACGGGTAACTTGCTCCTGGTTAATCGAGCGGAGTCGTGTCAGCTCGTCCATCTACATGGTCCATAAAAACCGGAAAGGCATGATTGATAATAGATACATGATCCCTTGAAACAACAAGATGATTAATACGATAGAACAAAAACAAACGAATAACCGTCTTCCAAGCATAAAATGTAAAGATTAGCGTTGGAACCCATTGAGAGGAATGCTGGATTTATTTTGAAAACATTGAACTCATGGAAAGTAAAATCTGCAAGTGAATTGGCTGCATGTCTCAGGAGTCTTCAGATAAAAAATTCTTGCGACAATTCTCGCTAACAAGGTCAATCATAAGAATTATATATATATTTTTGCACCAAGAAGTCAGGGTGAGCATAATTTTGAAAGCATGTACTAAATGCACACAGGAATGCTTTTCCTGGTTAAACAAACTGTGATGTTCTCAGCACTTATTCTACCAACGATGTGCAGATAACCATGTGAACTGCGAGATCAGGGTTTATTGTGTGCCAGTAACGGGTGCATAAGCCCACGGACAACTCGGGCACCGTCCTAATGACTTGCACCTCTCATATTGCAGATCTAAAGACGCATAAAAGGTTGCAAAGTGTCTATTAAAACAAATACTTAGTCCTCAAAAATGGCTGGAGCGCAGAATTTCAGTATATAAACCTGTAGGCCATTATGGACCTTTTCACTCTCAACGATTTGTACGCAAAACTCTATCTGGTTTGGTCCTTTACTGTTCTGGACTTGAACATTCCGGTTGCTTCACTCCAGAAGGAAAATCCATGGACTGGATTTGTCACTAGTCTACATTGCCTGGCTGTGTCAGGAATAGGGTTATTTGACTTTCGGAGTTAGGGCTAACACAAAATATAAGCCTCTGTGAGCGGACCAGAGCAATTATATTAAAAAGCTCGCAATTGAAATATGCGAACTGGATGTGAGCTAATACAACGAGCACATCTGGTTCCATCAGTTTGACAACAGGAAATCTGAAGTGAGGTAAAAAAATTGCTCCTTTTAGGGAACATGCTAGTGATTCAGCTTGAGCCTTGATTGTAAGGGTCCTCGTCATTTTCGTCTCAGTTGCAAACAATTTATATGCTACTGGCATTACTTTCGAATAAAAAAAGACAGGATCAGGCCGGTGAACTTACATGTTGTGTCTGCAACTGACGTAGACGTTCTTCACGATAAGTGACTTCCTCACGCAAACTTTTAGCTTCGGCTTCCGCGGAACTAAGCTGCTTACGCATTGTGTTGATCTCATCACGGAGTTTAAACTGCGTAGGAGATATGAAGAAGAAGAAGAAGAAGAACGCATAAAACCCTGACCGTTTACAGATAATATACTGACAAACCCATTCAACGAAAAGTTCTAAACTTGTCCAGGGAATCTATACTGCTGTGAATATTCTGTTCTGGTTCACAAGCATACTTCATCGGGGGTTTCGTCTTCAAAATGAAGTCACTTGCTTGAAGTCACGCGTGCGGAGAAGCTGGGTAGCACTGTACGGATATCTCGTCCTTATTGGGAATCATCAGTCCGCATCTCATGAATCATCAGGGAGATTCGGACCCACTGAAGACCGAACATTTGGCCATAAGTGGCTCATTTGCAGCATGATTAGGTCATCCTTGGACAAGATACAGCGCTACACGTCTCTGAATTACAAAATTCTCCTCAGTTTTCCGATAGAGATTAGCTTCATAAGGTGAAAGCCAGGTTGAAAAATTTCCGTATCAGCCCATACAATCAACAAACTAGAAGTAGCTCGTAGGAACAAATAATTCACACGGGTAAATTTTCCGTCCGAGAAGTCGTCACTCGCCGAGCCGGTTGTGAATTCCATGATTAGACTCAACTCGAAGCCAATACGGCCATTCTAGACTGTGAGAATCGACCCAACGATGTGACTTGATTAAAGTTGTAGCATTCGCAACGCGATTGTGACATCCGTTGCCATGCTGTCAAAAACGATACGTATGAACTCTCAGTATGTCTTGACATGACACTTGTCGATCGATCCATTCGCTCAACAACCCTTCAGATCGCCTTACAACACTCAAGCTGAGACTTGTTTTACACTGAAAGATAATTGTCTGCTTTTCCTGTCTTTTGATTGAATAAACACTCGCAGCTGCCAGGAGAACAAATAGTCCTCCCGGCCTGCCTTATTTCAATCAGGCATCGCCAAATTCACGCAGCTCACTTGTTTACTGTGCAGAATGCAAAGCCCAAGAACTTACGGATTCCTTTTCAACAGTTTCAATTCGACTTTCTCTCTCTTGAATTGTGTTCTGTAGGTAGGTGATGTGATGCCGCAAATCATTTAATTCTGACTTCTGCCTTTGCAATTCCTCGATATGTTTCGAATTCTAAAACATGGGAAAGAAAAATACATCAATATGATAAAATGCGAAAATAGTTTGGTGGAATCCTTAGTGGAAGAATATCGATGAGAGTTGGGTTTTAATACCTGCACACCTCTGCAGAATAAGGGCGAGACGAAAACTTAATTTTTCAATGGCAAATACACTTCAGAATGTGGTTGGTTTGTTAATGACGAGTCCGCCCTTGTCCAGGTTTAATATCACATCTCACCAAAAACTCAAATCTAATGAGAATACGGGACTCACGTAGTACTCACTGTGTAATGGAATGCTAGTCTCCCAAAAGAGAGGGCCAGTAGGGCCTGACTAAATTGGTTCCTTCTGTGGAAGGGATCACTGATTTCTTACGAAATCCAAAATAACCTTGAGTCAAAATTCACTTCGACCTGTATTATTTACGTATGATGCAATACATCTGAGCAGCAGAGAACCTATCAGGAAAGTCGGTTTCCCGAAAGCAACCACACTGAATACCCGAAATCCACCGAGACTCTCAGCTCCGCTAGATCTTGACCAGACATACAACGCCCCCTAAATATGCAGTGCGTCACAGCCTTGTGTTGAACCCAGACAGCGCGAGTCAGCGTTGATCAAGGTCAGACAACGCCCTCGCAATACGCAGCACGTCACAGCCTCGTACCGAAGCCAGACTTGTGCATCAGCATTGGACCAAGTTCAGACAGTGTCCCTCCAATAAATAGCTTGAGACCGTTGTACTTTTCGCACTCGCACTCGCATTCGCACTCGCATTCGCACTCGCACTCACATTCGTACTCGCACTCAAACTCGCACTCGCTTGTTCGAAATATAGTTGTTGTGTTTCCTTCTATGAGTCTTTTTTCCGGCATTAGGCAATGGAGTGGGTCAGCTACAGATACTACAGATTGGTAAATCAGTGGATATAACAAAGCCCAAAGCGATGCCAACGCTATACAAGCTGACTACACAAGGATATCCACTGAACCATAGGAGCCGGGGTCCAATGACTGCGAGAGAACAGGAACTATTAGGGACTGTTTTTGCACTACGACATGGGAAAAGGGAGTGTGTGACGTTAGTTTTTCAATCCCGTTGTTCCTGAATGAACTAGACAGCTTAAAATATGAGGCATTGCGTGAACATCTAAACAAGCTTTTAACATCATGATCACCAGGCTCCACAACGCATGGTTAAGCTACAGGTCTTGCTGACAAGCGACTGAGGTAAACAGAGTGTATGAATTAAAGACGTCGCTCGGTACGTACAATATAGGGTAAACCAAAACAAAAGAGAGCGCTAGGGACTGAGTGGACATTCGGCTGCTTCCCAGAAACAGTCTTAACCTCTGGTCACCGCAATCTATGAACTGTTTCCCAACATGGCCACAAGGCGCTGGTAAGTGACCTTGCCCACGAAACACGTCATTCAGTGTGGTTGCGTTGGTTTCGTTTGTAAATTCTCAACATCATTTCTGTATTGGTGTGACCTGCAAGATTTTTCTACATCTCCGAAAAACGACATCCAACCAGGAAGTGTCCTTCTGGATCACCCCATGAGAAATTGTTTTGGTATTCTAAGTGTCGCCCGTTACAGGTCCAATAACGCACCATTCCGACCTACATACTTTTGAACAATTATGGGAATACTCTAACTCACATTAAAATGCCTGTAAACATGCCTCACACCGGACTTTAGAGTGAAGCCTTTCTGTTGAGCCTTGCAACCCACAACTGCACGAATGTCCACTCAACTCTGTCAATCCCTTTTATTTTCGTGTTTCTTTGCACCTAGTTTAAGCTGGTAAGCTTCCCTTGGTTTACACTTGATTTTCTGTTTACTGAGAATCAACCTTAAACTTCATGACTGCATTCGTTATTGCAGCTGGAACAGTCAGCGACTAAATCGCTTGAACCACAGGAAATTGAAAACGAAAGTCAAACCGAGGACGTTGGAGCTCTAGTGTTAGGATACGAATTGAGCTCAACTTTAACACGAAACTTCATCACCATTCAGAGACTAGTTTAATCACATGGATCCACTCCACCTTTGGTCAAAGAACACAATAATATTAAGGGGGTGCAAATAAGATGCAGTGAGCCCTTAGCAGCCATCAGCAGTATGTCGTACAACGTTTCCCACTCATACTAAGTCAAGCATCACCTACTGTGCTTCTTGTTCGTACGATAGACAGCACTACTGAGTTTCAGCACCCTTCGTGTTGTTATTCATCAATGGTACAAGTTAACTTGCTCAGGTTGTGCAACAGTCACGGATACTAGTCTGAGTATATTTCACTGAGTTGGCAGTATTTGAGTGAACCTAAGAAACACCGGTTGGCCAACGTGCGTAACTGAGAACCAACATCATGCCACACTTGTCAGTCCAGTATCTTCATCATTAAATGACCTTCTTTGTGTTTCGAGACCATCGCAACAGCACAGTAGATGTATCTTGGTCTTTTGAAGATCATGAATCGTTTGCAATCGACGACAAGTCTCACGACGGAGAACCGGGGAAGTTACTCTCAGGACACCCAGGCATCATCCACTGAGGATCTCGGTTAACCAAAAAGCTGGTAAGAATACGCACCAGCGGCAAGCCATGGTTATGGTGTCTATGAGCACTGTCTAAACTCACCTACCCATACAGACTGAAAATATCACCTAGACTGGTGGTAAAACCTCCGCAACCATGTTGCAGAACAAATCAGTCATCATCAGTAGATGGTGTGGACGATACCAAATCCGGAGATCAGGCCGTCAGGCGTACTTGGTAGAAATCATTAGCTACACTCTGGTTTCTAACTTAACAAACTTTCATAACCGTTACCTAATAGCAGCCAGTATGATGGCTGTGCAAGAATGATTCAACGGTTTTAAAAATTATCTGTTGTAAATATCAACGAAGTTTGACGTACACACTCCGATTCCAGGTGTTGCAACTTATCCGTCTTTTCTCCGAGTTGAGTGAGAACGACTTCGTACTTTTTCTGTAATGACTCTCGATCCATAGCTTCCTTGTCCTTGAAGAAAATAACGAGGTAAGAAGTTGCCGGAATACACAAAGAACTACTCAGACAAACAAACATCTAAGTTCACAATGGGAGATTTGTGTACTTTGGAGACACTTGTACTCAACTTATCAGCAGTGAACTACCGTTTCAACGCAGTGTCTCAAAATAGAGGACGAATTCAACTATCGGGCCGCAAAGAGGAAGGAGTTATTTGCCGTTCGCCGTACAGTAAATCTGTTAACACGCTGCGCAGGCACTTCAAGAATGTTACAGTACATTCCAACCTTAGTGATCAGCACAGAACGAACAACAAGAGCCCCATTACTTACGACACGTTTAGTCATCTGAACGAAGAAGAAGAGTGAGACTGACGGAAATCAGAAGCAGAAAGATTATTGGCGTTAGGCTGACACAAACAGACGAGGTGACTGCACCTCCAAACATTCAGTAAGACGACCTGCGTGAAAAGAGGCAATATGAATGCTATTCACATGGATTCACAGACACATCTTGTAGCGTATTTAGATAGACTCAAAATATTTGTGTCGATGGAATTCTAGAAGGTGAACAGTTGCTGTGGAGAATCTTTCTGCTTAGCCATTATGCTACAAAGTATCTACTGAGTAGATTTTTGCCGTTGTATCATCCAAGCGATGTACATGATTCAGGTTGACGTTGAGGAGTGTCATGAATATGATGGCATAGAATCAGGCGGGCATCTCCAATCGCTCATCTCCATACCAACCGGAGACAAGTCTTTTTTAGAGTAGAAATATCATGAAATTACAGAGACTCTTCCAGGAGATGACACTGGATGAAGGAAGAAAACTTAACCTCGGTAGGAAATGGGCTGGTCTCGGCTGGCAAGAGATATGGGTCAGTCGAAGAGATCGCAACTCCACAGACTCCATAAATTATCCAGTGGTTCTCTGGACGCATAATGGACGAGTATTCAGATTTGCTGGGTAGATATCGCTAATCCAACAAACTGATTAGGCAGGACTTTGGACACACTGGTTACATCGACTTGTTTACGCAGAACTGTGTTCTTTCATGAACCGTGCTGCAACCCAATTTTGAATTTGCCTTTTCCTTGCCGTCGCATCTCCATTAAATGTCGTCAAAAACACCCTGTTTACGTGCTAGATCTGCTCTAATTAAACACTATACTATACTATACTGTACTATACTATACTATACTATACTATACTATACTATACTATACTATACTATACTATACTATACTATACTATACTATACTATACTATACTATACTATACTATACTATACTATACTATACTATACTATACTATACTATACTATACTATACTATACTATACTATACTATACTATACTATACTATACTATACTATACTATACTATACTATACTATGCTATACTATACTATACTATGCTATACTATACTATATACTATACTATACTATACTATACTATACTATACTATACTATACTATACTATACTATACCAGAACACAGTCCGTGTAACTGACAGAGATGTCTAAGAGAAATTCTATTTTCTCTGAACCCATCTGTGCAAACACGGACGAATGTTGCTTATAGTGCTGAGGAAAACCCCGGACAGCCTACTGCTTTTTTCATTCTGCTTTGAAATCCCCAGGTGAACTTAGTACGTGAACTTCCATGAGGGCTATTTTGTACTCGAACACCAGGTTGTACATAAATTCCGGGAAGCACATCCTAATGAAGGGCATCATAAATGGGGAATTTCAGCCGAGTCCCCTCTGAACACAAACTTAATTTACGAATGAATGTTTGCCGCAAACTCATCTATCCTCTATTTGGTCAGATGTGCTCTCGAAATTGCCTCATATATATCACCGTTTTAGACAATGGAATCGGAACTCACAAGAAAAATGCACGCATAATCGTTTTTCTTATTCATATGAATATAAGTATTCCCAAATATTTTTTTCAGAATCATTATGTCATTGTATCGGACAATTTTGATAGCTATTAAGCAGAATAGCAGAAGTTTTGTTTCTTCACGCATTGTACAACCTAGAAGAAAACATCTTCAAGGTAGAGAAACTTCTTCGATAAGATTTAGTTCTTCCTAGTAACTGGAGACTCAACATGAAACGTTTTGCGGTGCTCGGCCAAAATTAACACAATGGCTTTTGGCTGTTTTTGTCAGCTTGAATCGGAGTATCTTAGATTAGATCACTGTGACCGGAATAGATGCACCTCCACAATGGTCCACATTACATCGGTCGAAGGACAATTTATCTTTCCACAGTTTTCTGCTCGAAGTTTTTGTACTCTTGTATTATATCAAAACACGTTACACATATTGAAGACTGGAAGGATTTTAGTTCCTAAAGAAAGTCACAGTGACCGTCTACAGCAGTGGGCTGTTTGCCAACTGGGGTCAGCTGACTGCATGTCAATTTAAACAAATTTGACCACTTTTGTCGGCTCGGAATAAAATAATCGCACTTCCTGACAATGCACAATTAATTTTCTCACCTTTTCTGCCTCAAGCGCTCGCATTTGGTTTGACTTCTCACCCAATGCAGATCGGATTTCCTGCAACTCACTTGTTGCGCCAGATTTTTCTTGTTTGACTTTTTCTAACTGAGCACTCAGGTTCAAAATCTGCGTGGATGTGGAAAGAAAAACCAGCTATATCCAACCATAATAGCAGCATGAAACGGGGAAACTGACGAACCGTAAACAGTCCGAACTTAAAAGTGCTCCCAAAATTTTAGAAAAGACTGAGTGCTTGCTCATTTGTCCTTGTGAAACTCAATTCATTCCAGACAGAGTGTAGCAATCCTCTCTGTCAATCCGATGTGCGCGGTTTTAACAGAGATATTCGGATGTAAAAACATTCAAGAAGCTGGGTGCCATAACTTCCCCAGATATTGGAGGAAATTTGGAGCCACGTTGTATGTACTACAAGAAAGATTACACTGCAAGTTAACATTTTGACGGAAACGGTGCAGTTGAAGTGAAAAGTGACACTGATATCGTATCGGAATCGCGCAATTTCTGGTGGGTTGTTCATGGTTCTGCTGCAGCTAAACGAATACAATGCGATGGGTGCAAGCCAGGATTCGAAAAAAGGTACGTTGTGGGACTTGTAACTCTGAATCTGGAGAAAAAATTAAACTAACCACACATTAACCGTCAGCGAAATTCCATACTGGGAACATGGGTAACACCAGACAGGAAATCGAATCTTGAGAAGCTTCTCATATCTAGGTCGGTTCCTGACGCTCATTCGCTCAACTCGTTCGCTTTAGGATTATGATGGAGCGTTTAAGCAGAACGCTATAAAGTTTAATAGTAATGATAATACGGAACCGTGCCAAAACCTTCAATGATTTTGTGTACATGAATCTCAGTTTAAGGTCCTGTTGTACTAGCAATTACCTGGAGGAGCAAAGTACGTTCAATTCAACCATTTAATCATCCAGAAATGTATACTGTTTAGTTGGGAAAGATGGTCTATTGGCCGACATTTGGTTGCTTCCGGATATCAGCTGTTTGGTTTTCAACCATAAAGCTTAAAAGTGACTTCTCTAAACTTTCTGATGGTGTATGAACATCCTTTTATAACAATAAAGAAGTGAGAGATTTCGAAGCACGCCACTGTCCTGTTAGGAAGCTGAACGGTCTGAATTTCGGTAGTGTAAATGGACCAAAACTTTGACCATACGAAAGTAGCCAAGAGTGATTAACATCCGCATAGACGCAATGCACTACTAATAAGGTTGCTGAAAACTCTTCAACAGTTCGCGACCGGTTTCGCCCTACTTTGAGTTCACCAGATAGGCGCATTTCCCGAGTTTCCGTCAATCCTATGTTCTAATTAAACCACGGTTATACGAATTTCGACTTATACACTCATCTGCATACCAATTTGGTTTTGAGGGGTGACCTGCCGGTGACTCACCTGGAACCCATCTGAATCTCTTCTTTATGAGGTTTTATGGTGTTCTCAAATGTTTTATGATGGTCAACACTCAGGAAAAAGGTCCTTTCCAAACACACTGTTAGCTGCTCAAGATTGACCGGTAGGTATGGTATCCATAGGTGAACATCTAAAGACTGTGGCCAACCCAATCAAAGCCCATCAGATGAGCCCGGATTGTCGAGCTTCCTTGGATTAGATCATAATTAGGTTAGAGATTTAAAAAAAATAAATGAAGTCATTTGCAACGCAACTAGGCAAGGTAAAGTCAGTCATAGCCATCTCATACCTCGGCATCTTTTTCCGCTTTTACGGTAATGAGTTCACGTCGCAGCAAAGCCGTTTCTGAGTAGTCCGTCCCCGATCGAGTCTAAAAGTATGACAAAAGAAAGCCCCAACAAATGCACTCATCTGCATATAGAGTGGTTTTTCACGGAAGACTCTAAGGAACCTCTCGTTTATGGTATTTTCTTTAACTGAATGTGCTGCACAAAGGCCACCTGGTGTTTATAGGATACTCGAGATATCGCAGTATATTTTCATAAAGGAAACTACTCACAGGGTCACCGAAAACTCTTCGGAGAATTTCCAATAACCTGGTGCGCAATTTCCTTTATGACAAAATAACCCTGTTTCTACATTCCATAGTTGAATGCCAACAAATACGAGGCGCATATACTATCTCAGATTATGGAAAATCGATGAAACGCTGGAAAATGTAACAATATGAACCAAATTTCAGTAAGAGAGTCTATAGATAGTACTGTTGTTCATCAATAACATGAGTACGATATTCATGAACATACAAAGACATTAAGTGATCCAAAAATGAAAAATCTTCTAATGCGCACAGATAAGACAAATGTCCTCAAAGTACACTGTACTCGTGTGTAACAAAATTCAGTTTTTGATACTCGACCAGCGTTATTCTGAATATCGATCGCGTACGCCCCCTTAGATTGATGTTTGTTAACGCACAAGTGTTTGCCATTCTCTCAAAGCGAATGACAGTTAGCTTTAAGTTGGCCAAACTCAAATCTGCACATCAATATCAGAGGGAGCTTTTCGAAAGTAGGGATATTTTTTTATCAAACTCGATTGATTTTCCGATTAACATAGTAAACTTGGAAAAAAGTGAATACAATTGAATCTCTCGTCCACTTGTGCTTGAACAAAATTGTTCCCCTCCCCCCTCCCCGAGAATGAGGAGTCCCATACTAAGCTAGATTAAGATCACTTCCAGCATAAAGTGGGCTAGCAATTGAAAATTTCAGTTCCAATGGTCCCCAAAATGGCGCGAAGAGTGACTTACACCAAGTGAAGTTTGCATTCGTTCCATGGCTCGCAGCTGTCTCTCTTTGTCGTCCAGCTCGATCTGAAGCTGAGCGAATTTCACCGACAATTCATGATTCGACTTGCGTAGTTGCGCAAGTTCGTTGGGGAAACTGGTGGGAGATTTTGTTCCCGTATCCAGTCGACTCATTGCAGAATACTAGAATTTGGACAATGGCATAGTAAAGTGTGAGAAAGCAGTTTGCATTCGGGGATTGATAAAAACCGGCACGTTTTCATCACAACGGGAAGGTTATTCTTCATTCCGATCTATAATTTTCAGCCTAAGTAGAGTAAAAATGAGGCGATGACTGCATGGAATACTTTCGGAATATTTCTGGTCGTGATGCTCATATAAATAAATGGGGGGAATAGCGCATTGTTTAATTGTACGCATCGCTGGAGCTAAAGGACTGCGTATACTTGTAGCCACCCAGTCACCCACATAATTGACTGTTCAGCTCACAGTCGCTTACTGGATCACAAGGCCTGTCTTTTTTATACTCATAAACACGTCACATTAAGGTGACACATCGGATACCGATTGTCTGTATCCTCCAGTGAGCGTAGCAACTACTCATGTGCTGACGTGCCCACGTACACACAAACGGACTTACAAATAGGGGAACCGAACACAGACTCGCGCGCGCGCAGGGAATAAGAAGTCAACCTCTCCACAAGTCCACGGACAATTATGGAACACGTGTTGCAGTCGCACTACGGAGAAAAACCCCTTCCTGCCGTCCGGACCTCTCACCAAGGCACTCTCACGGACGATAAGTTCCTTTTTTGACTTGATCCAATTATCGCATTGTATTTACTTTTATACGTGTTGCAACCCACCACTGTCAACCATGTTCAAAACTTTCATTAGTGCATGCACCTTCTGATTTGTATTAAGGTCATCATCAACAGCAGTGCACTCATATACTCAGTTGCTGGTCCTGCCAAGCGCTGGGGTCAGTGTAAGCACAGCTATGCGCAACTGGTTGCCCGCCTTACAGTAAACTAGGACTGAAGATTTGAGACAGGTTAAGTGATTTTCCACTGACCAAGTCAGTTGGTCACCACGTATTAACCATAAACTGGATGATGTCGTCTGTGCGGAGCGTGATAAGAATTTCATGGTATAAGTCCAACCAAGATTGTTCCTTACCTTACTGAAAGACCCAATCCACAAACCCTCTGGTCAATGGGACGGTGTGGCCGCATACGATAGAGCTAGACTATTGGTCGATTGCCTTTCCGGTACCACCGTATTCTCCACCTGGCATTTGGAAGCTGATTGATTGAAGTCGCATAGTTCGCAAGTAGTATGCAGATCTTGAAGTTTCAAAACTGGGTCTGGTACTCCCAAAAAAGTCAAGTCATGCTTAGTAGAGGAAAATCACTGTACAGTCGTTTAAGCTTTGTTAAGAATAATCTGAGGCACGAGCCTCACACACTTTCGTGAGGATTTTAACCCACAATGTTCTGTGCCTGATTCCAAAAGCTGCAACTTGGCTAGTTGAACTCTGATAAAGTATGGATACACCCACCATCCAAACAACCAGGCCACTTAACGTAAGCCGGTATTGGCTATCTCCTCGAGAGACTACTTCTCGTGGGATAAATCATATGTGATTACAGGAACGGTTCTTCATCTCAAAGGATTTGAATACGTAAGTGTGCTTACCTGTGTTGCTTCCAGTATACTTAGCCGAGTTGTTTTTGCGTCAAGTTCACGTTGCATCGCTTTGAGCCTAATTTCCTGTTCAGAGTTTTGGAATCGTAGATGGGTGAGTTCTTGCATATGTTGCTGAATCTGAGCAAGAAATGTGATAGATATTCAGTGATACGGACTGAGTAGTAATGGCTATACGACTGCCGATGTGACATACGGGAACAATGCGGTAATAGTATTTTACTCAATTCTTATTTGTTTTTCATCCATTCTACACAGATTACAGGTCGATGATTGTTGATTTGAGTTAAATAAGAATTCTCTTTTTGAAATATGACCTTACTTTGGTCATGTGCAGGTGTGAAACGTAGAATGTTACGCAACGGTCAAGTAATTCCATGCTCGATGAAATCTCGAGGTCTCTCAATAAAGAGCGTCCAGCAAGTTAAATACGACCTTCTGTATCAGCCAGTTTTAACAAACACCATCCTGGAGGCCCATGAGGTTGTCTTAGTCACTTTTTTAAAGGGACGCTTTTTGTTCCACGAGCCGAAAAGAAATGTTCTGATGTAATGGTTCGTTCGCTGACCTTAGTGGCTTTTGTTCCATTCTTCAAGTCTTCCATCACCAAATGAGGAACCTCATCCGTATGCTTTTGGTGAAGGCAGGAAAAGAACAGTAACAGCGTGCCAAATAACGCGATTGCGCTACACCCCTCTAATAATATATCTCGGGGAGAGGGGCGAAAGCAGACGGATGTCGTTCACGAGTAACTAATGATTCCCAATAGGATTACCACTCAATATTGATCGCGTCGTTTAGAGGTATCATCATCATCATCATCATCGACCGCAAGACATCAGTGTTCAAAACCGATGCTTCATTGCCGTGTTTTGAGGTATAGAGCAATCCCGGATTTGTAACAGCAGTAACTGGGAGGAACGTGGATACTGAAAAGTACTGAATGGCTCAAATAACCAGATAAAATCAATCACAAGCGGATGTGTGAAGGTCAAATTGACCTGATGATTAGAGTTGGAGCATTTTTCGCGTAGGCACTGAGGTGGACAGTGCTGTCATTGGGACTCCTCGCTTTCGGAGAAGTAAATCCTATTCTGGCTTTTCAGTTAATTTAAACAAAAGACAGTGAAATTCCTATGTTAAAATCCCGAGAGATACTCCTCACAATTCTCATTTGATTCTTGGAAGTGAGTGGTGCTAAATCGGGCAGCTGTAAATGAGAATGAAAATACTCACTGTCGACTCCTTCTCTTGCAGCATTCGTGATAACAAAATGACATCCGGGCTGGCCATAGACTGTCCTGGGACAGAGGCTCGTCCACCAGCGGCCGTGCCGATTGCCGATGCGGCATTCCCGATCAACTGGAATGCACTGCCGGCCAGATGAGGTGAAGTAGCTCCACCCGAATGATATCCAGGCATATACATCCGTGAGCCCGTTGCTCCAATTGTGGTTGACCATGGTCCGGATGGTGAAATATTGGGAAATAGAGGTATGCTGGCCAGCTAAGAAGAGGAAAATTTATGAATAAGGGGTTCATGTTCAAACTTTGCGTCCATACGTTGGAGTATAGTACAGAATGCTATCCGAATCAAGCATCTAACGTTCCATCTGGTGCTTGACTCAGGGTTTTATTTCAACTTTCAAGTGTATGCCTTACCACATAAAAAATGAGTATTTCTCTTTCTTCCCACATAAGAGCAACTATGATTGGAAAGCGCTGCTAGCAAGGGTCCTTGTGTTTGTTACGAGCACAAATTGAAGTAAGAGGAGAAAACTCAGGCAACAGAAATGACGAATGCAACGTTTTCATCAACGATCTGAAGCAGAAAGGTGGTCTGACTGGTCTCAGGTGAAAGAGTGGGAGGTATAATTTATCACAAACCTAAATTTACCAGTTACTTGGTTTGGCTACAATTCAGGAGCGCTTCACTTGTTGATTCAAATACGGCAAATAACCTCGTAACAATGCGTCATAGCGTTCGAACAGAACCATGTTGTGAATCCTTTGGGAAACAGGTTCAACTGAACAGTATACAGGTAAACAAACGTGACTGACTTGGGTGAAATTAAGATGAAAATGCTGAATGAGAGTTATTCACCGAAAACTGGACTTTCACTTCCAGACTCATTTGCACAGGGTGAACTAACTTCCTGTTCAACCCGTCCGTCACTGAGCGTTAGCAACCGAGCAATTTTTCGTAGTTTGTGTCTGCGTTTTCGCGCTGCACTTAAATTATGTTCTTGCCGTCACGCATGAACAAACAGCTGACAGTGGTGAGCTTCCAGTTGAAGTTCGTCACTATGACATCTGTCATTAAACATAATGTGAGTAAAGTGGAGGAGTTATTCATCTAAAAATACCAACGGAACAGTTACAGACTAATGGATAGTGAAGCGAAGCTCTCATATGCATCTTGTTTCATAAAAACTAAGAATACGTCTTCTCGAACGTGTCCTCCTGAACTATCCTGGATACTCACTAACCAGCACTCAAATGTAAACGAATGCTACAGAGTGATTCCACAAATTCCGTAGTAAATCTCACTTTTCAATGGACGCGAAGCTGATTCACGAGAAACTACATACTACTCGCATTCCTCATCAGTAGTATCCAACGTTACAGTATCAGTCATTGGAATATTTTCGCCAAAATGTCGCAAGTGGCTGCTCCAAAAAGGCCATCGAAAGTCGTTTGACTAAAAAACACTATCCGAAAGAATCGCTGATTGTATAAATGAAGGCTTTTCATGGAATTTAATACGGGAAACGGTGAGACTCGTTAAGCTTGTATAAGCGATGCAGCGGATTTCCAAAATATATAAATTCAAATTTGGGTTCGACTCATTGAATGAAAACATACCAGTTTGCGTGTGCGAATAAACCTACCTGACATAAAGATATTCCCCACTGGATTCAGACGCTTTCGTTGATTTGTAGATGATAGCATTCTCGTAGTATAAAGTGATACACAACAGAGATTGGAGCATGATCCCAAGACCGTGGAAGGTGAAGGGTGACTACTACAAGGACAACAGCAAAGTTACATTAACAGCAAGACAACGACAAGACAACTTGAAAAACATGTATCACGACTGTGATATCCCCTCCGATACTTCACATTTTGCCACCTACCACGTGTCTGTCTTGATCGGTCAGTGTATGCTCTCGACCTTGGGTCAGTTTGACCATTGCAGCGACACGCATATTAGCCTCATGATTCGACCGCCGTAATTTTTCCAATTCCGGCAGGTAATTTTGGAACTGGAAAAAAGAAGTGGTAAAATATGCTACTATTGCTTGGTACTGACGCAACTCGAATTGAAGGAAAGCAGAATGTAGAACTCTCCGAATGGGTATAAAGTAGGGTCAATACGTTGATCAATATAGCATCTGGTTTTGTGGCAAATCTATGGCGTATCCTCACGGCTAGACGGAACGGTCCAAGAAAATTAGCAGACTGTAATTAGCAAAGATAAATGGTGTTAACCCTGAAAAGACGGGCGCCTATTTTGCTGGTCACAAAAGATGATTCTGTACGAATGGACGTCCACTTGCAAATCAAAACAGCAATCCCACATGACAGGAACTGCTAGTGACGTGGTGGGAATTCTCACTTGCTTTGACCATCAAGATGATGAGATTCTTGGAAGAATTTAATCGAGGTAACCAAAATTGTCCATTTCACGGGAATGGTCAACGTAAGATTGTCTTTCATTCTGCCCAATAGCATTATGAAATATTTCGTTGACTGAGCAAGGTAGAATGAGCGTCAAATTCATAGCAGCACGGTAGTCACATTTAATCAAACTATATCTGACTTTGACGCAAGTAGGTGGCAGAAGTGCTTCAGGGGTTTATCCGGTCACTGTGACTCATATTGAGGAACATCGGGGATAGTTAACTTTACTCGGCGTGTGTAGTGATCCTTCGTATTTAAGAAAAACTGACTCGGAAGCTTTCATTACTTCTGTGATGCACTACTCATAAGGTTGCTGAAAACTCCTCGACAGCCCACGACTGGTTTCGCCCTTCTTGTGGCTCATCAGGTAGGCGAATACATGATTATAAAAGTATCGCGATATCTCGAATAACGTAGCGACTGAAATATGAGGCGGCCTAGTGCGGCACATTCAGTTGCTTGGAAACATCAAAACCGAGAGATTCAGTTGGGTTTCAGGTGAGTCTCTCAAAAAACTGAATTAGTTTGCAAATGAGTGTATTTTGCTTTCATAATGTTTAATGACGTCCAACCAAAATCAGAGGAAACAAAAATTATGGCTTCTTCGGACGCTTTGTAGTCGACAGTACTAAGATTGAGAAAGACGACAAGAATCTAAATCCTCTTTGGTGATGTAAGAAAATGCCCCCTTTATGGACGAAGCTGCTGAAATGCAAGTACTTTCAGCCAATGTTGTTGTGTGATTTCGTAAATTTGTTACTTCAGCGAGACCGAAACACCTACTCTGATTTCTCCAGTCCAGGCAAATAATGGTTCAGTTTCCTCGTTCAGTCTCGTACAGTAGCGTATGTTCATATGTAGCATCAGTGTGGACTTACGCATTCTTGTTCCAACGTTTTCAGTTGCCCTTCTCGGTCACTGAGCTCCTCCTGAATGGCTGCCATTTGAGCAGACAAGTGGTTACGTTCACGTTGTAGTTGTTCAACATTTGAACGCAGTTCGCGCATCTAGCATATGGAACGAAAATTGAGATCACGACTCGATTAAGCCAATAGAAACTGAAGAAAAACTGAAGAAAAAAGATTGAACCTTTAACTATGGAAACCGTCAGGACGCGCCCACACATGAGAAAAAGCACATGTGCGCAGAGTGACGCATCCCCAAGGTCACCATCCGTACGACACGTTTCGGAAAGCAGGTGCGTTGGTGGGGCTCACCAAACACGGTTTAGCAACAAAAGACCAGTAGAGTGGGGCTGAAAGTGTTCACGACCGGAACACCGACATTGACTGTACAGAACGAACAAGTGAACGACCATATTTGACCATTTAGTCATCCTATATATTTACGCAGGAGCTCTGTATGTTTTGTCCTGACAATACAGCCGTGTCCCGAGTTTTGTCTTCTCCTTATCGCATAGTCTGGCAGGCTCAGTGCAGGCGTAACCAATAGACGGCCACCGACAATACAACCTTGAACTCTGCCGCAGATTTCGATTTCCTTTGGGTACATACGAATCTTTTGGCATGAGGCATAGGCTATCGGTCAATGAGTTTTCCATGATAATCCATTCGTTTGGTTGCAAATGTTCGAACGAATGTCGGCCGGACTACTCGACACTTAACTGAAAGGATTGCTGAGCACATGACCACAAACAGTGGGTAACCGGACAAGCCAAACACGTAACGAGTGTGACTGCAAATCACCCGATCGATACAAGTTCCCTAATCAATACAACTGAGTCATTCAGCATGATGCACCGAGTGTGATCGTATCAGTTCAAGGTTACCCGATAATAACACTGCGACAGCAAGCTGTCATTGAAGCGATCACCATTCGACTGTATCAACTCACTTCACGTCATCAAAAAGGGCACCTGGAAGCAAGGACCTTGCTCTGGCCGACCAACAACGGTTTCTAACTAATCCCGAATTATTGACTTAAATTCCACCTTAATCACCGCATACTTTACCGCCTAAAATGATGGTATGCAAATATTTTAAATGTGTATTCTATTTATACCTGTATTGGGTGGTCAGGACTTCATTGAAAAGAAGTTTTCGCAATACCTGGTATTATGAAACAATAAACTGGGGATATTCAGTTACAAATAAGAGATTGTTTGTATCACCTGCTGCTCCATGTGTCTAGTTTCGTCATCACGTCCTGATGCATAGACCTCCCTTTCTGCCGTAATCCGTACACTCTCGCGTAGTGCTTGTTCCAGTTCGCGAATGCGAGCCTCCTTCTCAGACATGATACTCTGGAATGAGTAGGATCGAATAGAACCATCGTGAACAAACATCCGAAAGAGATCTGTCTGTCAAGGGTAACATTTATTTAAAAGATCTCCAGACAGTTGTCCGGGCGTGGGATAGCCTATACATCTTTGGATCTGTTGCAGTCTCCTGGTGTCTAATGTCAACGTGTGATAAGAAATAGAGAAAGCGTTCAGCTGTAGCACCCTTCCGGTGCCTAGCTTCCATGCCACCCGAAGGAAGCACGAGGGCTGGGATACTGCCAGGTTGCCCAAGTCTAGACAGGGGAAGTCGAGTGGCGGAGGTCGGATTCGAACCACGGACCTTCCGGTCAGTAAATTCGCGCTCTAACCACTTGATAACGGAGGTAGTGTTATTATTCTACCATCAAATACCATATATTAACACGACAGAGCCACATTTAGTATCCAGATGATACTGGGCTGATTGTTGAATACAACTTTGATAGACTTTAACGAAATTCAAGAAAATCCGCTTACGTTTTAGCATGAAAATAGAAAGTGATCAGGTAGTAATCCCTACTACTTTTAAGCGGAGAGGGCCAATCTACTCGAAAATTGGTGCACAGATTAGAGGATCCACAAAATGTAGTTTCTAAACACGTCATTCCAAGTTTAACCGAACAGAGCCACAAAACCAAAGTTTGGCTTGTGAAAAGCGAGTCTCAGGATGGCAGTGTCTGTACTAATCGTATTCACAACCGACCACAAACTAGAGTATATTTGAATCAGTAACACTGGAAGTAATATTTTTTGTGAAAATCGCTCTGCTAATGGGTGATGTACCTAGCTACACATTACCCATGTCCCGGAAACTTGGACACTTGTAGTACATTTGTTATGAATTGCTTTTCATCACAAAAATCGATATCAATTGTTTTGATATCTGTGGTACTCAGTTTCATTCTGCTTGCGATTGTTCTGATGAATACATTTCGCCATTCGACGTGGTTTTTCTAGCCAGTAGCGAAGCGGCAGAGGTACGGCTGGACTACCTCTGCAGTCGCCATTTATTTCCGTGTCGGTCTGCAAATTTTCGGAGTTTTTGAAATCACATTTACAGTCAAATACCACATATCATAATATATGTAATCCAGCAAGTGAAACTTTTCAGATGTTTGCTCCGTCAAAGAAAACTTGGTGGAATTCGTCCGATTCGTACACAGGCGTTAAATCGAATAGCGAATAAGCCATTCAACAGGCCATTCAACGTTCTACGCGGATTGAAGGGTATAATGAACCCCCCTATGAGGTCATACTGAAACGAAAATAAACGACGCTGCCATTCTTGTAAAGCCAATGAAAATATGTAGGATGAAGTGTGTGTTAAAATTTGGAAATCTCCACATACTACTACCATACTATAAGTAATCTCTCAAGAGGAGACAGCTCGTAGACGCAAGAGCCTTCCAGCTGAGGGCGCGTCGATTGTGGAGCCCGTCAGCAAGCTACTCGGTGACCTGTGTCACGTTACTGCAGGGTGACTGATGTCTTGCGCTAAGCGCGGCTTAACCACACGGCTGGTCGGTGGCATCCGATTTAAACACAAGCCGACGTCGTGGGTGAATATGTTTCGGAGCTAGTAAGCTGGCGCATTTAAATCTATTTTACCCACAGGTTGAGTTAAGAACGACGTAGAGGCTTAATAGGCATAACATTGGGAAAAATAGCTACAAAAATATTCTACAATAGCTTCTAGAATAAATAAATCTCGATGTACCTCTCATGCGATACTGCTCATGCGCGTCTGAAGCGAAGTACAAAAATTGTATTGAATACGAGTGTTTCTTTTAGGATATCTATGAACGAATTTAACGATACACTCATGAATTACTGTACTTTGTAGTCTGGCTAAGATGAGTAACTCAGTGACTTTCGTATCAACTGGACACATTATTGTGCAACTGTGAACGAATATCACCACAGTGGATAATGCTTTCAATCAAGATTTCTTACTGCGAGTGAGGCGAACGCATACTGAAAAGCCGAGAGAAACAGTACTGCTGGGAATCGTCGGCAGGGCGCAGCTCACGAATTTCAGAGAGATTGGAACTCGCGGCCTCCCGGCTAGTAGTCTAATCGTTGGGGTACGGGAATCTGATAACCACGGTGAATAAATCGAACGCATATTGAATACAGCGCCGCCAATCCTTCAGTCACGGAAACCACATCATCTGCTTTGTTCTGGGATGCTATCTGATGCTGTGTGTGGTGGGGGTCCTGATTTACGAATGTCTTCCGAATAAAAGGTGAAGAAGACTGGAAAAACGCAACAGCTTGAAGGAGAAAAGGCATTCATTCCTTAGAGATGCGAAGTAAAAACCGAACCAGGAAACTCCGGATTCCAATCTCAGCTTGCCCATCCAGGCGAATCCTTACCCTATTACAGTCGCTTGCGGCGGAGCGGTATAGTCTTCATCTAACAGCGCGGATTCTGCTGGTTTGAACGTCCATAGTGATCTGCCAGGTGCAAGCTGCTGATAAAACGGATCGAATTCAGATGTACGGTGCTCCACAACTATTTATTCTAGACTGACCTCACCAGGAGGATAGAACATCTATCGATACTATTTTGAATAGCAGCCATCCGGATTGTCGCGTCAGAAGACGGAAAATTTGATCAGTTAGATAAGGTGTAAGGTGAAAAAGTGACCAATTACCTTGAGAATTTCAACATCAGAATGTGCGTTTTCTTCACGTTGCCGAGTTTCCTCCAATAGTTGCGTTTGCTTTTTCCGCTCGGCTTGCTGGGTACGTTTGAGGTTTGATAAATTGTTCTGGGCTTCACGTAGCTCCCTGTAAAGTTGAACACAAGGAAAAGTCATTTTTAGAAGTTTGGTCAGCAGGTTAGGGAATGAGCAGTGCAATAGGCAGTGCACAGTAGGTAAAACCATATGGAGTATCGAGTTAGGGAAAGTTGTTGGAGCGATGATGGGTGAACCTCCCATAAGAGCCAGCAAAGTTGCAAACCGAAACACGAATGTGAAGGCAAACAGAGCTATAATATTACTCACTAAGGGAACTAATCCAAAGGCAATTCGGTAAGGCACTGCCCCCACGGGAACCTTCCAGTCAAGTTACACCTCAAATGATTAAACTTAATTAGCAACTAGCCGCTCCGCTCATATTGGGAGTGTGGTATTACATCCTTATTAGGTATCTCTGTCCAAGTAGTGCTCTAGAGGGGATTTTCTACGATTCATTCTTTTGTAGTGGGAATCTTCTATGCTGGCAGAACCCCTCACTCGTCCACATCTTGAGAAAAACACTAAGCGATGAATATTTGGTTGACGCCGTAACATTAATTTCACTGTTAGGTAAGTTCATCCAGAACAACCAGGACTAGAAATTTATGGGTGAATGTGAAATGAAAGTTTTGCTGAAGACGTTCTCATGACACCGTCTTCTCGCCCAAAAAAATCAGGGTGATGCACTTCATTTTCTCCATTACCATCAATATGTTCATTATCGCTTCATTTCACCGAGTAACTATCTCCTATCGTCATCCTAGATTGAGAACAAGGCAACGGTGCTAGTGACTGCCATGATGCAGAATCACTACGGCATCAAGGAATCGTAACCTCTTTGCCCGCCTGTTTCCCGCTAAGACCTGAAACGGATAGCTGACTACAGACACATGTCCTATGTCGATTAGCTGCTTGAGGATCGGTGATTTGATCCTGGATTCAATAAGAGCTGATGCGGTACACAGATTGATTAGCACGTGATCCTTTATCGTCATTGAGGATGCACGACAAAGGAAATCGCATTTTCAGCCGACTGAAAATGTGGTCTGACCGCCTGTCAGAACGTGCACCATGACCCTGATTAGAACAATGGTACACCACGCCGCCTACTTGTGCAAGCTGGTGAGGTGGTGGTGGCGGTTTTGAGGACAACCACACAATCCACAATAGTTGTTGCAATGTTCTCACGACAGCTACTTTAGCTTAGGAGACAGACGGGTCGGTTACTCGGACCGGCAGACACGAAAACGGTGGATCGGCGCACCTCTAACTGCTATCAAGCGAGTAGTTCGCTTTCAGCACAATAGCATTGCGACATTGACCGATCTGTCTGACCGCGCCCATGTTATACAGTCACACCAGCTGCACTTTGGTTGGGTTTTAGAGACGGTACAGCGTCTCTACCCCACCGTTTGGGGTAGGCTTAAAAGTGCACCCAGATGTGCCTCGAAAATTGGTACAGTCACGCCAGGTGGGATCTACCTTGCAGACTGTCACTCGTCACATGACACTGAAGATGTCCCAACCATTGAATGAAAAAAGTTGAGGTAGTCCGGCAAGGTGGGAGTAATCAGTCATGTCCCAGTAGCGCATATCTGACGGGAGTTTATTGCTCAAATATGACGATGAGCGAAATGTCAGGGCTGAGTTGCCAATAGGTCAAACGAAAGCAGTTTTCATATATTTCTCGGAAACGCCAAAATACTAGTAAATCTTTCCCCAAACGATTGCAGAGGATAACTATAATGGCTCAAAATCTATTTATCCCCGAGAAAGAATAATCCTGCGGAAAAAAAACAATTTGGCATTCCCACAGGTAGTCCCCAATATGAAGGTTAGTATTTGTCATATCTGCTGATTCGCCGGCCTGTGGTATATGCTGCTGACCCGATCCAGTGCCTAGTGTCGGAGAGAAAAGACTCACGGAAGGGAGCACAATAGCTATATTCCAACAAAGTGGTTGCGAGAGCGCGAGTGCGTGCGAGTGCGAAAAGTACAAAGGCCTCAAGCTTTTTATTGGAAGGACACTGTCTGAACTTGGTCCAATGCTGACGCACGCGCTCTGGCCTTAGTACGAGGCAGCGACGTGCTGCATATTGCGGAGGCGTTGTCTGTCCTTGATCAACGCTGACTCGCGCTGTCTGGGTTCCACACAAGGCTGTGGCGCACTGCATACTGAGGGGGCGTAGTCTGTCTGGTCAACACCCAGCGGAGCTGAGAGTCTCCGTAAGTTTCGGGCATTCAGTGGCTGTTTTCAGGAAGCTGATCTTCCTGATAGTATTAGATTGCAATGGCATAAGGAGGTAAAGCACAGAGACAAGACGAAATGCCGTCCTCATTTCTCGTAGACTTTGAGGAACACTTGATATTCTTGCGAAATTACGTGCAAAATGAAATGTATTCAGTAGATGTACAATCTCAGAACACTCGCGAACATTCTACTCATCGATGACAGACATGCGTTAACCGCTTTATCCTCCTAGTATGATTTCACAATTCAGAACAGACACTCTTTGGAGAATGGGAGAATAGGGGAAAAATCCACAAAAGCAGTGAGATTGGCCGTTAGTATGTCCGTCCAAATTCCATCACCACTCAAAAATAGTCTGTACCTCCAGTAATCCTTACTTTTCTCAGCTACGCTACCACCTTTTAAGGATATGACTCGATTGAGTCAGGAGTGTATAAAAAGTCCTCGTGGAATACTTAAAAGAGGAGCCACATACTATATAGAGCAACACACGACAACTCATAGTTCCCGAATTACCCCCAATTTATCAGTTTGTTGTAACGTTAGAGGAGATCTCTATCACAAGATTATTTTTACCTTCGGTTCTTGTTTGAACCTTACTGGCCAATGCAAAATAATTCTTTCAACCGGAGGGACAGGCCCCAAAGTTAAATACGCGGGCGCATATTGCTAATGTACCACCATGTCTCAGTTCTAGCTATTAAAAGCTGAGATGACCAAGTTATTGACAGTTTGCCGTCCGCCACTGAAAACAATCAAAGACTTCAAGTTAATGAATTACAAAAAACGCGAGATTATTCATATTCCTTGCTTCTCAAGAGGATGTGTCCCTCACCAGAAAGACTATTTACCACCACCTTCAAGGAGTTCTCTTGTGTAGCTGTGGGAAAAAGAGCAAATATTTGAGCCAAGATAACAGTACCGTATATTATAACGTCCGGGAACTTACATGGAGCTAATCCAGCTGTGGGTCACATGCTTTACGATATATACTACTCATACCTACTACTGAGAAACATGTCTTCCATTAGTAGCCCATCCTGCACTAGTCCACTTTTTTGAAAGTTCCCGCAGATGGTTACTCATGCAGAGCTTGAGTGTAGTTTTTCAACTGGTCAACATGTTTCCCTCTGCAATCGAGATACGCCATACACGCTGCATCTGCCACGTACCACAGCTCCGTCAAAAATTCATGATTGTTGATGTGCCAGGATTGCATGCCTGGTTGTCGGCTAAGGGCAGGCATTAATACAAATGGGTCAGAGATGTAGAGTTAACGGGTTGACAACGTTTTAGGTCAGCACATGGCCGCAAACGGGAAATCCAAACTACAAAGCACAGCCCGATTCACGTAAACTCCTCTGGCCTTAACTAGCTCATACAGTCGAACAGAAGTGTGTGGATAACACCCATTGGGAATATTCAACCAAAGGACTGTGAAACTGAAGAACCAGATTCCAACTCCAGTTCAAATTTGTCAGTGACGGTTGTTCACTTCTGAGTAGCTCATCTGCTTTTTTCATCTGGCAACTGCTGTGGGAGGTATCACATAGCCATCACGTAGCGATTCAAACCGAAAGCGAATACGGCTCTATGTAGATGCACCTATTGTTGGCCAAAATGTCTCGAGACGTTGATCAAGTAATTCTTTCCAATTTCTTTCAATTAGACACATTCTTGATGCCTTGCATAGCTGTGGCATTTACGAGCCATAAGCAAGCTTTCACGGACAGAAAGGTTTTGTACTATCTATACTTTTACCTTGAACAATACTAATTCCTTTCACCCAATCGCCAGATTATCCCTCGCGCCACTTAAAGAAACACACAACCAAAGTTAATCGAGGTTATCCTGACCGTTAAAACTGTTATTTATGTCGCATCAAGACTTCTAGGTCTAACGCCTTTAACAGGCTTCAGATGGACGGTCCTGTTGGTTAGTATTCTGTTCTTTTTTTCACCCTAATTAGCATCACCGTAAGAGAGACCAGCTCACTCGGGTTACTGCTGTTAAATTAACTGTGGGGATTTCTTGTGTAAAGAGCTTTTGTGAAATAAAACAGAACCCTCCCCCTGAGGAGAATCTTATTTTTATTGCTCATTCTGAGAGGTGTAGTTCAGATAAATAACCTCAAAGATGAAATATTTGACATGAGAACTGTTGGGTTGTGGCATGAAACTGTGAATTTATTCTTTCTTCAGGAAGGACCACTTTTACTTAGTCCCACAGCAGGTCAGTATCGCATCGAAAGACTGGTAACCGTCTTAGACCCGAAGATCTTGAACGAAAATCATTCAATTTCAAGAGTGAGTTGAGCCTTATTACGTTTTTTTTTCAAAGGAGTTGACATATTTCGATCAGTATTTTGAACGTTATCTATTTCTCCAGCCTTTCATGACTGATAATGTTGCCCAATTCATCGTCACACAGTCTTTGCGAGGATGGGACGGTGGGTGGGCAGGTAAAGCTCTAAATGATGCTTAGGCAAACAAGAGTGCATGCAGTTGACATGTGGCAATCTTGATCTGCCAATTCTTTACGTAGCTTGCGCGATATCTCAGCAATCAACGACCTGAGCGATAGATTATTGTTGCACAAGTGGAATGTACATTTTCAATTGAATATCCATGCATTGCCCTAACGTCAACTAAGCTGTACTCAAAAATAGCCTAACCATATGCTTGCCCCACTTCAAGAAGGAGGCACTTGAAGAAGGTTGACCGGTCCTGAGAATATCATCATCGATGTTTGAATCCACTCACAGAAAGCGGACCAAGACTTTGTTTACCATTGTCACATTTCGCGGACAACTGAATGAGTTTTTATTTTGTCTTTCACAACCGGTGCAAGCCAGTAACTTGTTAGTACTTGATTCCCAATGTGTACGATTATTGAAAAACAGATCAATCCATCTAAATATTCGAAAAAAAAATGATTCCTCATAAATCACAGTGCGCAGCTACGGATTCATTACAGTTAACAGACTCACTCTTGCAGTTCACGCAACTGCTTTTCCTTTTCGAATTTCTCGCTATCCAAGTTGCGCAATAGCCGATCGATTTCTGACTGCATCTTCGAATTTGTGTCCATATAATGATTGACCTGTCCCTCTAACTCCCCGATGCGTTGACCGTATTTCATCTCACACTCTGTTGTAATTTGCTTGTGTTGCTGAAATAGCCGGAGAGTAAACTTGTCAATACGTGCTTATCAATCATATTGTCCATGGTCTATATGGGGGCTTGTATGAAAACATCAAAGGCGTTATTGTACCACCAGAAATATTCAGTATTCCCACAACGCCGGCTTCTTCATTCTTTATAGTAAACAACGTTAGGTTTGCTGGTTGCATCATCCTAACAAAAAGTGCTCGATAAAGCCTCCAACATGCAGTCCTAACTTTGCAGTGATAATATCACGTTCTTCTACGAGATACACCTACTTGTATGCCTGTTTGGTTTTCACGAATGATCCTACTGAATTTCCTGTTTACGGCGCTCTGTTTCAACTAAATGTGCTGCATGAAGGCCGTATCATGTTTCAGTTGGTACCAATACCCTAGTATGGCAATGCACTGTATGAACCTAAGACACTACTCATGAAGTTACTGAAGACTTTTTGATATCCCACGACCGGTTTCGCCCAGAACAGCATGAACGAGAGCTTCAGTTGAGCCTCTATTGAAAGCCAGGTTTGTATACAAATTTGTGTATTTCGCTAATTTTGTGCAATTTGAGTTGAAGTAAAACACTGTTGGAAGAAACTTGAGGCCTGAGCCTACTTGATGAACCTCAGGAAAGAGTCATATTCTTCAGCTGTCATCAGTCACAGATGCGAAGTCTCATGTTTTCTCGCTTAGCACACCAACAAGTGTTCTGGGAGGACTTATCTACCTGATAGGAATAACATTGGATAACAGCAGCCGTTCAAACTCCGGTTGGCTAAACCACAAGAGATCCATCGAGTTTGCTCATATGTAACCTCCCATGTAAGAACATGCAGCTAGAGGGAAAAAATGGCGCCAAGCAACAAGTGAATGCCAGAAATAAATGGCTGTGAACTTGGCCGTGTAGGCTGTCTATTCACCAACGCTGCAACTTATACCAGTGATTTACAGACAACTGTCACTAGTTCGAAACGGCGAGAAGACACGAATGACGAAGCCTAACTCTACAGCACGGTAAAATCATTCAACGAGGAACATTCTCGTAAGATACACAGATACTGATTCGAGGGATCAGTCGTTTCAACTTGCACACTACAATCACCTCCGATCACGCCCAACATTTCCGGTCCAAAGCTTGTATTGTGGTCTTGAACTAATCGTTTCGTGTTATACACCAGTGAATCAAAAAGTAGATGACATATCAAGAAGTGTATCTACTCGCTGCTTTGGCCAAACGGATTAGGGCGACTTGAGGCTTTATTCCTCTCGAAAACAGTTATATCCCTACGAGCTAGTAGGACTCTTTTCAGAGCTTATAATCCAAGACGCTTGATAGTTTAAACGGAGTAAGAACATACAGTACTGTTTCGTGCATACCATAAGAGTGTTATTAGTTGTGTACAGTTAAAACTACCACGATGTCAACCATGCGTGTTTAAAAAGGAATTTACACAAAAATTAAAATTTAACAGGAGACTCAACAGAATCTCAACAGAATCTTTCGTTTATGATATTCTTCACCCGACTGTGTTGTACAAAAGCTGCCTCGTGTTTCAGTTGGTATAACATTCATATCATCAGCGAGGGATTAGGCTGGATTCAATTTGGTATGCCGTCAGAACAAAATTTGTATGCAAATGAGGGTAGTTACGAATTCTGTCGAATTTGGGTTCAAGCTCAACATAAGGTTGGCAAGCTGGGCCTGCCTGATGAGCCTCAAGAAGGGCGAAATCGATTGTGGGCTGTCGAAGAGCTCTCGGCAACCTTTTGAGTAGTTTCATTCAAGAAAGGAAATCACTTGTAAAAGTAAATGAAGTCACCAAACAGTACTTTTGTAGGAAGTCATGCCCAAGTTACACTCTTTATTTCGCCAGTTTACAGGAAGGATACGCGAAGCATTATTGATCCAAACAGTACGGTAGACAGCTCATATGACTGCGTTAATTTGAGGCAGAACTATCTACATATAGGTTCGCCTTCTCATCCATTTGAGCGTTTGCATCCATCTCCAAGGATAGCCGTAGAATGAATGTCAAACTTCATATCATAAACACGCTGCCGTGTGTCCAGACGGTGAATTCAAGTTTAAAATTGGCATAAATCTTGTACATAATTCCCCAACGAAATTCAAGGCTGCAATAAAGACATTTGCTTTTCGGTTGATCCGAATCTCCTCCAGCTGAGCAATCCGGTCTTAAACTTTGTGTAAGACGCATAATTCGGGTTTAGACTTAATGTGGAAGATGGTGCAGTCAGGACTGGATGGACAATAGATATGGTGCCATTGTGGATGGTACGTATCGAGTTTCGTAGAATCGTCTGCAACTGAGTTTGCAAGGTTACAAGCATGAGCTTTCAGGTTTCCATTTGTCAAAAATGTGATTCTTACAACCCAGTCAGGCGTCAAATTAGCAGCTCATTTTATCTGCCAATTAATTAAATACAAAAGACATTCTCTTCAGGATAGCACACCCTCAGAAGGGAACTACCTCGACTGACCCCTAAGGTTAGTTCAACGGATAACTCTCGCTCAGAATAATCACTCTTAAACTCGGAATCTTCAACTGTCTCAGAGGACATGGTGCTTCGTTCGAACCCTTTTAGCTTCATTAATCGTATTCTGAACAGTAGCGTTTCCGTTATTTTGTATTTAATCTGCCTCTACACATGATGTTCAGGCCAAATTGACTACACTGTTTGCTGGATGAGACATTGTCATCACAAAATGATGCGATTCCCAAGTGGCCCATTAGACATAAGCTAAGGCATCCACGTAACCAGTGCACATAACATTCGTCGATGTGCCGAACCCTAACTGCGGCCCATTCGCCACGGTCTAGCCTTTGTTTGACCGGTCCCGTCCTACATAGGTCAATACGGCGGTCTGCTGGACTGCAAGCCTAGCCAACAGGTGTGAGTCATCGATAGTGTGCTTGATAGTTGCGTTGCGTCCGAGGTTGTCTGTACGTGCACATGGCCTATGGTGGGGGACACTATTCCCTCAGCCGATAGCTTGGATACCCCGACACGCCTCAGGACTCAGTGGATCGACGTGTTGTTACGTGCTATTAGCAGGTGAGGAAATCCAAGATGTTTTGGTGGGTGCTTTTGTCGATAGAAGCACAAGCGCGACGATATCAACATGTTTTCCTATTCTTCCCGGCTTTAAAAAAGATGTCAATGGAAAGCACAGCTCGTTTGACGCATGTCGGCCTTACGGAAATCTTCGCTCTGATCACTTTTGCGTAGTGAAGATTCTGGTGATGGCCCGCAGGGTGTTACCAAAAAACATTTCCCCGTCAAGTAACATTTGTGGTTCGATGATACGAATACACAACTGGCTCCTAAGTCGGTGAGATTCATTTATCCCTGTCTGTGCGGTATTCGAAATTTTCACAGATGTGTTCGAACCCGGGTTTTATTCAGTCGGATTCACATCATTCTTGTTTGAACAGTCATCCTCCTACCTTGACGTAATTATTCTCGTAAGTCCCCACTAAAGGGAGGACGAACTAGACTCAATTTACGTCCCCAATAGAGCTTATCAGCAGTGCATATATACATATAACTGAGTGACTTTGAGTGGGTGTCGACAAATAGGAGTAAAACATTAGCTGGATAAATCTCGGATGTGAAACACAAATAGTGGACATGTATTATGAATGGAGGGACAAAACGCCGGCCAAATGACGTTTTGTTACTGAATTGTGAGAGTAATGCGTTTTGGTACTCCTCTGCAAAATCTGCCAACCGGACGAGCGCAGGGGATTAGTTGTGTCCGAGTAGGATACTCAGAAGAGAGAGGGTTGACTGGCTAAGTTGTAACATTCAGAGGATGATAAATTGCTAGCTGTTATTGAACTGTTCATATCCTAGTCTGAAACATTCGATTTACCCAACGGAGGCCGATGGATGTTGCTCGCCGGTCCATGAAAGAATCGACCCGTACACGCAAGTGGAATAAGGGGGGTTGTGTGAACAAAATTTGTCCATCCCAGTTGTCAAGTCAAGTCAATTCACCCATGACGTATGTGATGATGGTGGTTCTTCAGCATACAAAGGTATCACATGCGAATGACTAGAAAAATTGGTATACACTCCAAAGAATCCACCAGAATTACCCATCAACGAATACTTTATTGAAGTTGGCGTGACGTGAGATTAGTACTCGGAGCAGTGAGGACCAGAAAAGTTCACTGGAGGCAAAGTGCGATGAACAAAGTTTGGTACTTGAAAGGCGTGCGTTGGGCAGACGAAAATTTACCGAGAGACTGGTAAAGGAATCGAGTCGGAAAGAATTTGGTGTGTGAAATCTGAACAAGCATCAAAATGTTTGTACATAACAATATCAGCAAGGGTATATTTTTTGAGATCCCTCTACGCTCATAAACGTAGTTTAGTGAGCTGTAAAGAAAGCGGTAATACTCTTCAAGGAGTCCCAGGAAGAGGACCAAACCGGGGAGAATACTAAGGAGGACAGAATGCGTACTGATTTATATAGCATAGAAATTCAGACGCTGAGATCTACTACTTGAATATGGGGAGACAAAGTAAACGTATTTTACGGTAAAACATCTTAGGAAAGGGATAGGGAGACCGTAAGAGGGTGATATTTATTGATTAAGTCAGCATCAGTTTGGTTGAAGATCCAGGAAAAGATGAGTTGTCGGAGGGAAATTGAAGATGGAAGTGCGCTTGGCTGACCTACTAACAAATTTATTCAGCAGTCATTGTGTTTTCAGCGTATTTTGACTAGATGAGACAATTAGGAATGGATATGCAGTCCGTAAAACAGTATACATTTACTGTGACCAGAATCCATTCACCTCCTGCTTCAGTGAAGTCAGTGAACAACAGACGTACAACATTAGGTTTTGTATGCAGTAATGAAGTAACCGTTTGAACTAGGTATACAAAATCGTCTACCATGGAGCAGAACTGGCGGTATGTGAATTTGTGCGACTATTGGTCCAACAATATGCCTTGTATTTGATTCAGCATTCATCGGTCAAACAGCCTCAAAAAAAGCGGAGTTACCTGTACCGATATTACCTTAGCCAACTACCAGAAGTCAGGAATTGACTCAGTGTAAAGGCAACTGATAAGTCAGCCGTCAGATATTGCTTCATCCAGGATGTCTGCGCATCCTCTGAGCAGCAAGAACGATAGATGATCGATGACACAAACTTTGCCCGTTTTTATACACTTCTTCTTAGGGTATACTACCATAATATTGACAATGGACTTTTTGTCGGTTGTAAATGCAGTGATGAGGTTTGACGAGCGTACAAATTACCGGTTGGGTACACTGAGGTCGACGCTAGGGGTACAGCTTTGATCGTTGGTAACCAAATTATTTCAGAGCTTGGGCATGGCAGGTTTATTGGCAAGTACCAAAGTGACATGTAGACATTAAGGAAGCTGACATTCAGTTTGATAGTTCGCCTGGGCCCTCTGATCCCGGCACGACTTTTTTCGCCATTGTTCAGACTGCCACAATAGTTGTTTCCCAGGTAACACCACATCACAAGAAATTTCCCCACAAAATACACCTCATTTTGATGGAAATCTTGAAGCGTGAATTAATTTCTGGAATCTTGGAAGGATCAGCTGTGAATGAGAACCACGAATGACATTTTGGCAATTATTTGATCAATACTTCCCAATCATATAAACCTCAGCCAATAGATCCTGATCACTGCAACTCAAAGGCATGTACTACCTTCGGAAAACTCACCATTTGCTTCTCCATCTGCAGTGTTGCAAATTCAGAAGCCCGCTGATTCAACTGTGCCTGAAGTTGACTTATTTCTGCTTCGTGTTTGAAACGATTGGTTCGCAATTCACTCAATTCTTCACGGAATTCCAGTAGTTGCGTCGCCTTCTCATCCAAATCTCGCTGAGTTGCTTCTAGTCGGCCTCTAAGGTCTGCAGTCAGACGCTTCTGTGCGTTCAATTCATCCGCTGAATCTGGAGCTGCACTCCGTTGTGAAAGGTCTTGTAGCCTAAAAACATTTCAAACGATGTCAATTATTGTCTGGAAATCGATGGTCTCCTGAATACTTTACCCGTCTATTCTAAGAAAGAAGTCTTCCACTCATAACTGTTGGTCTATTGTCTGAATGATGACTTGTTGTTGCGAGACCCCCCAAAAGTTAACAGGAAGTGATTTGTTGAGTATTAAACAATTCGACCGGCACAGAGTTAAGGGCGTAGTGCCGACAACTTTCTTGGTACACAGTGAGGTTAAAAATTAAGCTGTCTTCCTAGGGAAAAATTCCAAAATAAATAATCACAGTTACTGTTTTCTAAGAAGTAAACAACTAAATAGGAAAACGGTCCTGGTGGTTGATCAGGTGGCCGTTGATCTGTTCGCCGAGCTTGGCAATCAACCTGCTAATGTTTTGTCACCAATCAGAGTTACATCATTAGTGCGCGTGGGTCCGCAGTGGTAACAACTTCGGGTACATTGCTGCCACGTGACCAGAAGTGAGCACGAGGGCTGAGATACTGCTAAGTCCCTCAAGCTTAGGAAGGAGCAGTCGAGATGTCGAAGTCACTTTCGAACCACGGACCTTTCGACCAGCTATCAGAAGTTCGTCTTGGATTTGGTACCGCAAATAAAGCAAAGCTCTTTTCGAAACCTTTGAGTCTCACGAAGTTCTACTTGAGAAATCACTTCCGCTTATGGATCAGTTATCATCTTTGTAGTATTAAATAAATCATTTAGAGTGCAATCACTTCACATTTGGCCGAAACCGCAGATAAGGAAAATGCCTTCTAATCCCCACACTGGGTGCCTCTGAACCTGTTACGAACAGTGCGATTCAGAGTGCTATTGATCCAATGGGAATTGTGTAACCTAGATTTCTGAGTTAAAAAGAGATTTGAGCGACATTTGAAGGTGTTTTGGTCTACCATTCAATCCGTTCCCATGACTATATCTTGGACATTATCCACTTTAATCTGTGACTCATTAGCCTGTGTACCCTTCCCTCCTCTTTTTTATCGTTGTACCTGTGGGTGTACCTAGTCATGCGGGTGATCCATGTCTAGCCCCATATGAATTTGGACGCATTGGTCAAGTACGTTGAGAGAACATGATCTGGAACATGAATAGGGATAACCTTACTTTTGCAATGGAAAACACGACGGGTGTCTAATTTGATAGCTACATGTGACCTGCCTCCGACGATTTGCTCCACAATACCACTCAAGTACGTACACTAATGGGGGTCTTCGGGTGAATCTGTCAAATGGTTGCTGGTAGATATGAACACACAGTCTAATGTCGACAAAGGCAACCTGAAACATGAAAACTGCGGTCGGGCTTCAGTTCTGGCACAACTAGTGCCGAAAAAACCTCACCGGAAACTATGTTCGACTTTTGCAGGATATTTTCTTGGAAAACAAAAGCATGCCTATGAATTCCAAAAAGAGTAGTTTGTCTGAACTGGCTTGGGATTTAAGATTCCCTGGGGAAGAAAATTACTGGTGAGTAATTAAAGATGTATTCGTAACCTCACCGAGAGTGTTGCGATCCAGCTGACATAAATGGACTATGCTTCAGGTGGATTCGATGGCGATTAGAGTGGTGTTTCTGCGACTACTAGCTGGATAAAATTTTGCACTTTTTACTCAACATTCCTATCTGTTCCTGTATAGTGAAGTTAAAAACAAAATTCCAAAGCGTTTATGTACCCCGAATCCAAGCATCACCGCTCTATCGAAGTGGTATCACTAATGAGTTGGAATTGGGAAAATATGAAGTATACCTTGAAATCAATAAGCAGGGGGCACAACATCACTCTTGTACGCCGCATAGTTCAATAAAGGGAAAAATACATGGTAAGAAGCATCACCTTTCTATCTGTTTTTCCTTATCCTTCAATGATTCTTCCAATCCAATCCTGGTGAAGTCAGTCCCAAGACGCTCGGTGCTGATTCGTGACAATCGAGCTTTTGACGCGGCAAGCTGTGTATCCTTGTCATTCAGTAGGTCTTCCAAGTTTTCAACCTGTTAAAGAGGGTGGGGAATACTGTAACTATTGCGACGATAATTTTTAGCCGGCTACAAAAAGAACGCAGTTTCTGCATCGAAATATAGTCCCTCGGCATCACTAACCTAGTAAGGAATTGATCACACAGTGTACATTACTTTGATATCAAACCTTAGAATGACTGTTCTTGTATAATGTACCCGAGACAAGGGTCACATCCTGATCAGGACAGAGAGTGTCACCAACAATCTCGAGAAACCTAGTATGCTTAGCTAAGCCCTACTCGCATCCACCTGTACGTACATGCTACGCTCGTCCCTACTAAAGCGGGTGTACCACACTCGGCCACATAGTGTGGTAGAAATTGACTAGTTTCTAACAGTGATGTTTTGATATGTCAGTAGAATTCAACGACATTGTGTGCTCATTTAGTGAACCGTATGTGACTGTAATAGACCAGGTTGAGAATCTACTAAAGCGGTCTTGCGAATAGCACTCAGTTCGTCAGGTTCATTATACTTCTCCGTATTTTCGCTTTGGCTTCCGTGCCATCCATACATCGATCGATTCATCATCAGTTTCCCCATGAAGATTGATAACTAGATAGGATAAGCCATTCAAATAATCAAGATTGATCAGGTTTATCAACAACGGAATGTAACAAAGTACACCTGTCAGAGTATCAACTGTTCTCTTGTGTCTACATCACCAACTTTGGCTCTGACGTTCAATGGTTCTCGTGAATTTATTTGGTTCCTTACAAAATGTTGTGTGAAACTTCCACATCTGTACGTTCATCCATGGATGCTCAAATTAAACAGTGTCATTTATCTGCCGGTTGCAAACAGATCTACTTCTCAATGGTCCTAATCAGCCTGGTGGCATCATCAAAAGGGAGAAATGGGAACTTTTGGGAAAGGGAATCTTCTGGCTCCGTTGCTCACGACTGCATGTCAAAATTTGAGTCGCCAGCTGTTAAGTCGTAGCAGGTCACATGTCGTTGACATGCTTTGTTGAGTGGAATTAGGAATAAGCGCAGAGGTTGAGCGGTTACGGTGCGCAAAATGTCCACGTGATACCATGCGTGGACAAGAGCCATGTAAAATACGCTGGGCGTTTCACAAATCACTAAGTTTGTTTTAGTTTCCAAGGTCTTTAAAGATAGGTTTGTCCAACTTCAAAGTTCATTTGTTCAAATAACTACGCATGATACTGTTAATACAGTTGAACTATGCGCCAAATAGACAAATGCACTGTCCTCCCACAGGCCTTGTGATCTGGTTGAGTACTACACCTGCGGGTAGAGTGTGGAATGGTGCGATCCAATATGCCCTATCCTATGGCCGTGGCGTGCAAATCTTAGAAGAATCTGCGTTCCGAAATTGGTGCCTCCGAACCACGGGCGAGTCTGGTGGGAAAATCAGATCAGTAATACTAAGTTTTACCAGATGGTTAACTTTCCCTCGATAGATTAACTGGTCACTTCCACAGGCTACAGTGATAAGGCCACGTGCTCTGTACACCAGAGGACCGTTTACCCCGTACAGTCTCCTTCACCCAGACTTGTAGCAGATGGAGGCGACCCACGGGTGGTCATTCCATGACCTGGCAGTGAGCCATGAAAATAGTCAACTTTGTCGCGGTGATAATTGCCGTCTTTCCGGATGGGAGCTCGGGACAGAACAAACCGATCTTTAATGAGCCTAACAGTATCACGCAACCAGTAGTGCTCTTGCATCAAAGATGTTGACTTCACTGTGAAGCGCTATACCGGTGCATGGTTTTTTCAACTGATAAAAACTGAACTAAAGGCTAGCGGCCAAAAATGTGTGGTTGGAACGTCCGCATTTTCTGTCCCAACTGTGTGTCTGGTACCTGGTTTCTGAGATAGATAGATTGGAAAATACCCACGTGATAAGATGCACGGGAGCGTCCCATAAGAGGACTGCGATTGATTTCATTGCTGATTTTATCAATATACCGGGCTACAGAAAACTAACAGACCTTTGAAGCCCTGGATCGATTCAATTCATTTTAGAATACGCTGACAAAAGAAAACAAGGTGATTCTCCAGAGAACAACACTTAGCAACCCACACTTTCGACGGCCCCCTTGCAATACCGAGCTGGCTGTTTCAGTTTGGAGGTACTATTGGGATAGATCACATGAGCAGAATCGATCACACTCGATTCGCAGCAACAACCTGGCGCTTCTGGTAACTGTCTGAATCGGTTTCGTGTTGCTATTCTGCAGGTCCTGTTGGTGATTCAGATGAATAGTTTGTACGCTGAACAAGCCGAACTCAATAAGATGTTGGAACTGGCGTTCTTGGTTTGAGTGTATGGTAAGGTGTTAACAATATTTATTGTTTCAGCCTTTCTAACAAAAGTTCCACGAAACTGTCACGTGGGATCTCCTGATTTTTCAAAATCCTCGTAGTTTTGGGCGGTCATCCAGTGCCCGCTACGTCGTGACTGAAAATCGGTCGGCGGAAAAGTGTGAAAAGTGTAGACCCGACTCAATCCATCTGATGTGTTGCACTGCAACAGATTCCTTTCCAGGATTAACCACATTCCGCTTCTATGCATAATGGATTCTTTCTTCTCAAGTAGAAACGAAAAACTTCGTTTTTGTTGCTGTGCTGTTTCAATTGTTATACTCATCAAAATAACTACGAGAACAATGCTAGTTTCGTGACTGTTTCAGCGAAATCATACACTTCTAGCGCACGCACATACAAATAGAATGAGAAGTACTACCTGAATCTTAGAAGTGAACCTTTTGATTCTAGGTGTCTCTCGCAAAACTAAACTAGTTTGCAAATGAGTGTATTTTGCCAACCTTTTGGTAACTTTTAGTAACTTTCCCACCAGCCAAAAGTACTCGTGGTCAATCACATTGGTATTATGAAAAAGTGATCATTCGATAAGTTACAAGAGAACTGTTCCTCTCTGCATTGACTATTTAAAGTGATCAACGAAATATGGCCTGTCTCCTGTCACTAATAGTCTTTAGATAGACGCAAACAACCGTGCTTTTGGCGAGTCCTACTGAGGAACAAAGAAGTCGCGTGTGGCTGGTCTTTTCGTGATTCCACCACATCACTACATTGCTTCGCTATTTAGTTCTATTCACGGAAATATTCCCCCATTAAATCTTGGTCTCCCCGTTTTCATATATCACTTTTTTTACATATCCATCGGTATCCCCAAAACATCTGCCCAGTCTGGTTAGAAAATCGAACTGGCAATCTTGAATTAAGCAAGATAGTCATAGGGATATGAATTATACCACGATAAATTAGTCGACCACACTTCGTAGGTTACGCTGGTAAGGACTTCCTGTTTGCATATCAGAGGACTGCCTGCATCACAGAGCTCTTTTCTTCCAGTCCTGTTTCGAAAGTAATTTCATTCATGAGACAACATCTTGACTGAAAACTACCAGATTCCCTCACACCACCATCCATTTTCGGAAGATTACTGAAACGTCCATCTGAGCAGTCGTCACTCGAGGAGTCAGTCAACATCTGATAACGTAATGTGGATTCCGTGATTGCAGGATGAGTGGCGTTGTATCACAATGGTGGCCAGTCGTCGGTGGCTGAACGGTGAAGTCTTGAAACTATCAGCCGGGAGGTCACGGTTCGGGACCTCCTGGAGTTTCGAGATGCGCACTGCTGAGGACTGTCAAAGCGGATGAAACAGCCGTCAGCATAAAGTGCCCTCAATTACACCACGAAATATCAACTCAGAATTACCTAATCTCTCGACACCATTATAAAACCGAATCCGGTTGACAACTGCCATCTTAGAGGATGGAGACCTCAGAACTCAACTCTGTAATGATTAGTGACACTAGTAGACATGACTCAGTCGCGCAGTCAGTGCCGGAACTATCGCCTTCAGTACGTAGATCCCAGTTTTCCGACTAAAAGATCATTCCATTGCTCCCGACGCTTGGTTGTATCTGCAACGCTGATCAAAACTATAGTAGCCGGGACCACACTCACCTGTGTGCCGAGATTCCCATTGCCGATTGTCCTGCCTTATGCGTCGTTAGTTAAGAAACAGCGCTTCTTATCATTAGAACCGAAAACTCACACGCCACTTGGATTCAGGAACACTGCGAATTCCCGATATCCCGCAATCGTATCTTGCAGGATGTTTGAACAGAACTGCTTCACATTTTGTCTCTGCAGTCTAAATTTCTCTTCATTGCATTTGGTTTTCCGAGGGGAAAAGGCACCAGATGTGACCAGATTTTGTCAGTCTTTCTAGGCACTGGTTTTATAAAAGCAGAGTGACTGAGTGCACACTAACCCATATATGGCGAACTTTTAGATGAAGTTCGCTCTAATTGCCAACGTTCGCCCATTTTTATTACAGTCAGCGCGTCAATCATTTTGATTTTATTAATTTTCGAGTTTCGACCGCTTGAGACTGTCTGACCCAGAAATTTCGGATATGGCTTACTGGCGTACAATTCAGAACAGCAACATGAAGCTGTTCCAGACATGCGCCACGGGCTTAAACACAGTTTGAAAAATAATAACACTCGTATAGATGAATCGCTTATGTGCTTTGTACCACTGCAGACAAAATATGCAATTTCGAAGCCCATAGGTTGACAGTTTTCAGGCTTCTCGCAACGATCGATGGAGTTCTAAAAAAGCAATCTGACCGACTGCTCACAAGGATTTGGCTTATCCTAAACAAGCAACAATAATTTATGGTTAGTCATGTTCCATGGGGTCCAAAGATTTGCAAAAATGCTCACACAAACAAACTATTCTAACGTGTACACGGAATTGGATAAGTAGGGCTGAGATGAGCTAACCGAACGAACGAGGATTGAGCAAAGTTTGAGCATTCATGAGAATAATCGGTGGGTCGGGTATAGAAAGAACGGAATACGGTCAGCATAAATGAGGAACAAAGTAAAACTGGGATTTATTTGATAATTAGCACAAGTACTCAATAGGCAACGAAAAACAACGAAAACGTTTGTTGTTCGGATTGGTAACTTGCTGCACGGCTTTTAAAGACATTCAGACATTTTGTGCTCATAGTGAAACAGTACAAAATTGCTTGCGGATATTCCTATCAGTACAGTTCGCAAGTTCTAACTCGTTGGCGGCACACTGTTTATGCAAGGTACACTTCTCTAGGAGAGGACACATCGAGAAGGGGTTCCTTCTGCCTCCTGTGTGTTGTTCTCGATGGCTGAAGTGGTTAGAGCGCGGATTTACTGAAGGTCCGGGCTATCAGTACAGTTCGCAAGTTCTAACTCGTTGGCGGCACACTGTTTATGCAAGGTACACTTCTCTAGGAGAGGACACATCGAGAAGGGGTTCCTTCTGCCTCCTGTGTGTTGTTCTCGATGGCTGAAGTGGTTAGAGCGCGAATTTACTGATCAGAAGGTCCGTGGTTCGAATCCAACCTCTGCCTCTCGACTTCCCCTGTCTGGGCTTGGGCAACCCGGCAGTACCCCAGCCCTCGTGCCTCCTTTGTGTGGCATGGCAGCTAGGCACCGAAATAGTGCTACAACTGAACGACTTTTTTCTTGATTGGGGAGGACGGGATGATTTTACTCTAAATCGCGGATCGTTTTATACTACTGGAGTGGCCTTGGAAGAGATCTGTCTTGATTAGATTGATGTAAGTAAGTCACACAGTACACAACTGCCTGAAATTCTTCATATCATGCCATTTCATTCACGTGGTAGGGTGAATGAGAGAATGAGATAATCGCTCATCAATCGGAGTAAAATCTATAGCTGACATATACTCGATGCAAAAGAAGAATAACATTTCTCACTAAGTAACAACCACAAAACCGATGAGCTCTACGCGACATTGGTTTCGGACCATTCCCTCCCTAAAAGATCTCAAGCATACCGCCCATTAGCGAATATACACTCATTTGCAAACTAATTTGGTTTTTCGAGAGACTCGCTTGGAACCCAGCTGAATCTCTCGTTTGTGATGGTTGTGATGTTTTGAGGCAACTGAATGTGCTGCACCAGGCCGCCTAGAAACATCACAAACGAGAGATTCAGCTGGGTTCCAGGTGAGTCTCTCGAAAAACCAAATTAGTTTGCAAATGAGTGTATATTCGCTAATTTCGTGCAATCTGGTTTCAAGTAGAACATAGAGTTGACAAAAACACAAGGACTGCGCCTACTTGATGAGCCTTAAAAAGGGCGAAACCGGTCGTGGGCTGTCGACGGATTTTCAGCAACCTCATGAGTAGTACATTACAAAGACATACCGCCCATTATTATTAGTACTGCTATTAGAATAGGGGGTTTAATAATTCAGTTTTCCACAGCCTGACAAACGAAATAGCTCACATCCATTCATTTATTCCATTTGACCGATAACTTTGACAAGAAAATAGTTGGATAGTAGATAAACACTTAAAATGCACGACAAAACTGCTGAAAATGAAGACTGGATAGAGTCCCTCACGATCAACCGCACATTAATATTTTTCATTATAATGTACTGCACACAGGCTGCCTCCAGATTCCATTGTGAAGATATTCAATAAGGTTTCTTTTGTTCTGAAATTAAGTAGTACGGGACGATTTCTTGAAATCCGCAGATGGCTCTGTATAGACCAGGTAGGCGTATGCATGATGAACGCGCTGGAGCTGCAGACTAGATGGAGTTTTCTCGTGGTCAACTGATGTTGTTTCGCACAATGTCTGTATCTTGAGGCCAAATAAATTTTTTGCTAATGATTCAGTCATTCATTTACCCCGTTTCAGTGGCATTGGAACTGAAATTGACTATCTGCTGAGTTTGGCGTTTTTTAGAGAGGCAGCGCCCCATTATTAGTTATCCGGGCTCTCTGCGATTAGAATTGTTCGGTTATCGCGTGAGGTCAGTTCCAACTGTAAGCTTCTTCCCTCTAATGTACTACTCATAAGGTTGCTGAAAACTCTCCGACAGCCCACGACCGGTTTCGCCCTTTTGGGGGCTCATCAGGTACGCGCACTCCCCGGGTTTCCGTCAACCTTATATTCTACTTGAAACCAAACTGCACGAAATTAGCGAATATACACTCATTTGCAAACTAATTTGGTTTTTCGAGAGACTCACCTGGAACCCAGCTGAATCTCTCGTTTGTGATGTTTTCAGGTGAGTCTCTCGAAAAACCAAAGTAGTTTGCAAATGAGTGTATATTCGCTTCTTCCCTCTAATTTCGCTTACCAGTGAAGGAGCAATCTTCTCAATAATTTGGCACATTATCTGGGTCACACATGTCGGTCGCAGCCCATTTGGTGATACTTTAGTTGGACGTTAGATCAGCGAATACTGATTGACTGGTGTGCATTAGGTATACAAGAAATTTTGGGGACCTTCAAAGAGGTCCTCCCCTAATCTTGTGAGCCGTACTCCGCCGCAATTTCACACTAAATTGGACGCATTTGCATGTAAACATTCACCTTGAAACTAAAATGGTGTTAAAAGCTTTCGTTCAATATCTTAAATTTTGTTGCAGGATAACAACGTAGTATTGCATAACTGTAGACCCTAGAGGAAAGTGCTGGTAGCTCAGGTATCGTAGATGGTGGTCGTTGGCTTGTTCGCTGAGCTGGGCAATTTGATTGCACTGATTGAACTGATGAAATCGAACAAAATGTTCACATCAAGTTGTCTACGGATACTCCTAATCTGCACAATGCCAAGAAGAAATGTCTTACAAGAACCATGCATCTCCCAGTATGTGATGTTTCTGGTTGTATTTGCGTAAAGGCTTACCACTCCTCTTGAGAGCTGATGGACAACGAAGTCCTGTTTAGTCTGACAAGTTAAAAGACTTAAGAGACCTTTTTCGGGTTTCATTATGACAATTGACCGGTCAAATGGGTTGATACTAACTTCTTGCTTCTGCTTGAGTGAACAAATAATGATTTCACTGTTTGGCTCCTGAAGCCTCTACAGTCAGAAAGCATGTCTACCGTTTTGCTGCACCTATGACCCGAGTTGAGCAATCTATGAACTGAGGGAGATGTGTTCGGTTCTTGGGTCACTGATCTGCTGTTTATGTGATCCGTGTACGATCTTGTAACTTCGCTTCAGCTAGGGAAACTTGCGTTCCTCCCATGGTATTTGTAATCCCTTCATTCGGAGAGGGGCACCATGGTAGAAGCTGACTAGACTTCTGAGCTGTGTACCACTTTAGCGTACTGTTTCAGTTATGAGAAACTATATTGCTTGACAAGATTGTCTTGGAGACCCTTCTCCATTCAGGAATCAGTTTTTAGTTTTCTGTGAATTTCAAACCACAGAATTAGCCAAGCTAACAACATGCATAGGCCTAATGCTAATAGATGGCATCAGATGATAATACGTTTCCGCGCATGCTTGAAAAAAACGATAATAAGTCTATCAAAGTGCAACTTGTACTAAGTTTTTCTCTCTACGCTTGACGAAATTGCATCTGACAAACTGTGTTTAGCATAGTGGCATTGGTGCGCATTTCCGATTTCATATTAAAGAAACAATCACATCTAAACCGTAAATTTTCATCATTGCTTCTTGTGCAAGAGCACTGAAATCTGAGAAGAAATATCGCGCATTTCGAAATCCCAACATCTGTCTTTATAAGTTTGGCATTGGTGTGTGTTTTCAGAGCAACTTTTAACTCACTTTTCTCTGAAGCAAAGCCAACTTCCGTTCTTTGATATCCAACTGGTCCTTCAGCTCTGCCATTTCTGTCTCCGTTTGACGTTTCGCGGCTTGTGCAGCAGTTAGACTTTTTGTTTTCTTCTCCAACTGCGTTTCCTTCTCCTTTATCCGCTTGCGAAAATCTTCGGTCTAAAATGAGACGAACGAATTGTCAAATGCCTGTCGGGTTTCCAATTCGCTAACACAGGTTGTCATTGAAACTCGATTTTCAGTCTGTATTTTCGCGATAATCGATTCGATGTCAGTAGGAGATTTAGATGGAAGACTAAAGATATAGTAAATAAATTTCCATAAACCTGCTTGAAAATAAGGGCTTTAGCTTGCTGGATTGGCAGTTTTTGAGACCATATCAGTTTTTTTTACGGAAGTCCATTCTGAATAGATTAATGCGACAAGCTTTAGGCCGACAGGGTCTCGTCGTGAAGATGTGTCTGCACTGATTGGGTCCACACAACAAGGCGGTCGACAATGAAAGTATCTCACAGAAAAGAGCAGCTCTGCTAGAAACGCAGAATTATCCTATTTGTTGCAAACTGCCAGGGAATTGCACACCAGAATTTGTGAGCATAAAAGAAGGATTAGCAAACCACCAAGGAATTCAGAAGAATACCAAACGCTGGTCAAAGACTCACCGGTGGTTGTACATGCCTTAGACACAGGACATAGAATAGACTGGAGAATGTGGAAGTTTTAAGGCGGGGACTGCGATTCACACCACAGCGGCTGAGAGCCGAGGCGGTGGAAATTACTGAGCATCACAGCGTGAATAGAATCGAGGGTGTGGGACTGGCGAGCGTATGGAAAGTGATGATGACACGCGATGGTGTGGTTGTCACTCCACGTAGAATTATTAGCAAACACCGGAGGGTGGGGGTGGAAATCCCAACCCGACCAAAGGTCACAACATCCCTCTTACACAGCTATCTTGGCACTAGTTCATCCACACAGAGGGACAGATGGTTGTAACGACGCTTAGAAGGGACCATCAAATGGACCGAACCAAAAGTACTAGATCCTAGGCTTGACCCAAACAGATGTAGGTTTCTCCGTCGGCCCAACACTTGTTCGCCCACCCAAACACACAAAAATCCCTCGGCCGACACCCAACAGAGAATTGGCTTGCCTTAGCTGATTGGTTATCCTTCCGTCTTAAATCTCGACCAACCTCGGAACCTAGTCACTTGGCCTGACAAAGCTATTTCTTGAAAAGCGGAACGTTACCCAGTAATAAATCTACCGATTGTCACCAAATTCTTTCGAAAACGATGACTACACTATCAGTTCCATGTATTTTTCACCTGATTAAACATTACTACTGTCTTTTTGAGACAAATACTGCTAACTGGACGGTTTGTGGATCTCACCAACTGTAGCAACAAGATTCCCACTTCTGTACGTTCTATGGTTGTGAGCAGTTCGGACAAGCTTTAAAAAAACAGTAAAGGCAACATACTGTAGTTTAAAAGTGAGTAATGCCAAACACAGTGAAGTTCGATGGTTAGTCCAAGGACGACGCCAAAGAGCATATATTGATCCACTGCGTCGACATTCACGTAGAAACCATTGGGAGGTAGCATATTTGTTGTAGGTGGTTGCGGAATTTTTAGAATTCACGCACACATAACTCTCGTTTACCTCAATTATTTTGTTGAGTTCACACCAAAGTGGGGAAGCGCTGGACTCGAGTTTCGCTTTTATCAGAGGTCATTGTTGGTACATATTCTTGATCACTGCCGGATTTGGACTCCGTGCATCTGTTGCTACTAATTACTAAATATTCAAACTGAAAAAGGTAATTTGGAATTAAATACGACAAGGCTTATTCCCATCTGTAAACACTCACCTGCAAAATGCAACCTCTGTGAATGGACCCCGCTTCTCATTGTTACATGCCTTTTCTTTCAATGCAGTTCACTTAAATGGGTGTTTTTCCATAAAAAATATCCCGCTAGTTTTCGAAAAAGTTCAGTGACAATCGGTAGATTTATTGATGGACAACGTTTCGCTTTTGACACAAAAGCTTCGTCAGGCCAAGTGACTAGGTTCCGAGGTTGGTCGAGATTTAAGGCGGAAGGAGAGCCAATCAGCTAAGTC